TCCGAAGGCAGCCAAGGTTGTTGGCAGTCTCCAAGAACAAGTTATCACTTAACCTCGATTTTGTTTTTCTTTTTTTCTATAGTTTGTAGGTAGACGAGCATACGGCCCACCTGAAGGTAAACGGCTACCATCGCTCATGGACGTAAGCAATGCCAGGGGCATAGCCAAACCGCTGCCTACCATTGAGTACTCTCCGCAAGCCTCGCTTGAAGAAGCTCATGAATGCCAACGAATGACCAACCAATGGATGATCACATGCCATGCCAGTCTATACAAAAATGACAGGTACTTAGAGAGAAAAAAATTACTAAATACAAATAAATTTGGTCAGTTTGTCCATACGCGAATCTGTGATTTTTAAGAGCAACACAAACTAATCATCTTATGCAAACTTTATGGCTTGATTTACCCATTGTAAAACGCCCTGTATAAGTAAGTATAGAAGTATGCATTTACAATTAAACGTATGTAGGTATGACTTAGCTGAAACGAATATGCTTTCTCTGTGTTTTTCCCTTGCCTTTTAATTATTACTAGTGGTCCCGCAGTAGTCGAGATTCGACTATAATTAATTGGAATTGTTTAATAAGTTTGTACACTATTATGACTGAATTTGATACTTCTATAATCACAAATTTCGCCAAGGCTACACTATAAAAAAATATTAATAAAGACAAGCAATATTTAATCTATTCTCAATTTGACCACAGACGTCAAGAACAAAAGTTTGACAATAAATGTATGCATGCGTGTGTGTGTCAAATATATGGTATGTAGTGTGTGTAATGTTTTCTTTAATGATTTAATGTATCTTTTATGCATTATTTTAAAAAAAATATTAGCATTGTGCACTTCTTCTCTATACTCTCTATAAGTGTGGAAAATTTCATACTCCTCCGTCCGCGCAATTTTCATTAAAATGGATACAAAGTTTTTCCTTCACGTATTAATGTATAGATTTTTCTAATGCACTAATAATTACTTTTAGTTTGCGACTTTATCGCAATCATTTAAAATTAGCATTCTAGTCATATGTACTGTTACCTTGTTACAAATGTATCGAGGTAGCGCATACGAACACCGAATATTCCTTGAATACGATCTTGTGTCTCTGATTACGCAATTCCGTCTCACTTTGACGACGTATTCTATATTATTAATACGTGAAGCAAAAACTTTGTATTTTTTAATGCTTAGATAGGTAGACGAACTCACAGCCCACCTGGTGTCTGTCTACAACGTAAATGCCGCCAATCACCTTGAGATATGAGTTCTATGGTCTTAGTATAGTTAAAACGGCCCCACCCTTCCAATTGAAACGCATTACTGCTTTACGGCAGAAATAGACGGGGTAGTGTTACCTACCCGTACGGACTCACAAGAGGTCCTACCAACAGTAATTACGCAAATTATAATTTATAATCAATCCATTTTTACGAAAATTGCAGGGACGGAGGAATATGAAATTTCCCACACTTGTAGAAAATATAGAGAAGGAATACAGAATTCTAATTTTTTTTAATTGTGCTTAAAAATACATTAAATCAACAAAGAAAATATTACACACACTAGTATGCATTTGATACAACACATACATATAATCATATCTTTGTTTACTGTCAAATGTCAAACTTTTATTATTGTTTAAAGTCTGTGGTAAAATTTAGAATAGATTAATATTGTTTGTGTTTAATATTGTCTATAGTGTAGCCTTGGCGATATCGGTTATTAAAGATGTAAAGTCTTTGACAATAGAACCGTAGTAATGTTCAAACTTATAATTTAAATTATAAGTATTTCGATTACTAGGCGACCACTAGTATATATAATTATTTAGAATAGGGAACAAAATATCACGCATGGTCATTCGGCCCCAATTTAGGAAATATAATTAAATTTAAATTTAGGAAACCTGGACACTGACGGCGGGGCTGCCCATAAGTTAAGAATCGCACAGCGGGCGATGAAGAGAGCTATGTTCGGTATCTCTCTAAGGGACAAAGGCTAAAGTGGCAATGGGCCGGTCACATCTGTCGAGCCAGCGACGCAGGGTGGGGGAGGAAAGTTCTCGAATGAAGGCCACGGATGGGTACCAGGAGCGTGGGGCGTCTTCCAACCAGGTGGACCGATGACTTAGTGCGCACGGCGGGAAGTCGTTGGATGCGGAAGGCGGAGGACCGCATTCTGCGGAAGGCATTGGGAAAGGCCTATGTCCAGCAGTGGGCAGATAAAGGCTGATGATGATGATGATGATGATGATGTGTTGTGGGTACCAAACTAACCACTAATAAACATACTTACCTAGTCAGGTCATAAATTCTGTCACATATTTAATGTAAAATAATTGAAACAAGTTTATTCATTATGTAACTATTCATATACCAAAATGAACTTAATAAAACATAGATTCTTATGACACTAAAGTTTATTCAAAATGACCTCCGTGATTTTGAATACAGGCCTTCAATCTGCGCGGCCAGTCGTCTATCGCAGCACGAACGAGGTCCATGTCAATATCGGCGGCTGCCTTAATCAAGGATGACTTCAGTGACTCCAAATTGGGATGAGGCTTTGAGCACGCCTTTTACTCCAAGTGTTGCCATATCTTGTAATCTAACGGATTCAAATCTGGACTGGAGGAGGGCCAGTCTTCGTGCCGGATGAAGTCGATTTCACGCGCCGCCAGCCAGTCTTGTGTGCTCTTCGCTCTATGAGCTGGCGCCGAATCTTGTTGGAATACCCAGTGCCNATACAAAAATGTGTAGGATGAAGCCAGCAAAGAATGAGACAGAAATATACATACTATTTAATACAGCGCCATCTGTGAGATTTTTTAATACTAACGTGTGTATGAAAGCTCTTGTAGTGAATTTTAATTTAGGATTATACGTGAAATTAAAATATCAATTCACAGAGGGCGCTACCTTACAATTATTTACTAATGACCAAATTTTACATATACTTAAGACGTTTAGGATAATTGTATTTTAATTTTGGAAGGTTTCACTTCTACTACGTGTGAATTGCACACATTTTGTTTTTTTTTTTAATTCTTGTCTTTACAATCGAATTATATCAAAGTCATTATATATACCCCCTCCCCCGAACTCCCCACGATCGCGTCCTGTCACCGTTGCATGGCTACAAAGTACAAACACTGAATTCAATAATGAGGTCATGGGCATTTGAAAACAAACATAATAGGACAATTCTTAAGTTTTTTTTTTATTACTTAGATGGGTGGACGAGCTCACAGCCCACCTGGTGTTAAGTGGTTACTGGAGCCCATAGACATGTACAACGTAAATGCGCCACCCACCTTGAGAATAAGTTCTAAGGTCTCAAGTATAGTTACAGCGGCTGCCCCACCCTTCAAACCGAAACGAATTACTGTTTCACGGCAAAAATAGGCAGATTTTTTTTATTTTTTTCCCATAGATCTAGTGGTAGTGTCGTTGACTATAGAATTCTTACACTGGTCATGGTGTTTTTGATTTAGTTATTTGTTATTGGGAGTCTACTCTTTTTCTTCTGACTTGTTGTGGGCTCATATGTGTATCTGTCTGCTTAGTGCGAGTTTTTTAATTTCTCGTTCGCATAAAAGTTAACTCAAATTTGTATGGAGTTGGAACAGCGCCCCTGGCGGCAAATGGAGGGAAGCAGTTCCAACTCCATACAAATTTGCGTTAACTTTTACGCGATCGAGAACGTTAAAAAACTCGCACTAAGCACATCGGTATCTATGACAGAGAAGACAAGAAATTATTAGCTCGAAGGTGTTGATTAAAAAACATATATATGCTTATGCTTTTGTTCAACATTTGATTCGACTATTATCAAAGCCGGCAATGTGACTTTTGGACAATTATTGGTAAATCAGAAAAACGAATTATTGACTTTGTATTCCATTGGCAGTCACAAAACTCTTCTGAACGACATCTTAGATAAATAACAGGTTAAGTATTAACCTTTATTTAATGCAGGTTTTGAACCGTATTCTTTGAAGGAGACGATTATATTCAAATCAATCTGTATTGACATATCAATAACATTTTTTTGTCCAAATGCACAGATTGCCACCTTTGATAATAGACGACTCATTTGCAAGCGACTTTTTTGTACCTAACTTCGATACTAATAAGTTTAAATTATATTATCACACGCTACTTTTTTTATCAGATTAAATAGCACGTCATCTTTTGATTCCTCTCACCAGCTACAGTATAAATCACGAAATATTAAATGTATAATACGTTTTCAATTCAATTTACAATTATGTAAACTATCAAAGCGATGACGTAACCGCATATTAAACGCGAGCCATTTAGAAGTTTAAATAATAACCCCAAAACTAAACCTTGATGTATGTAAATATCGCTCGGTTAGAATGGAAGTGGCTTAATTAAAAGTTAAAAGACAAAATGAGTTTTTTATACTTTGAATTACTCTTATACATGTATTCTAACAGTTTACAAAATATTTTCTTTTAAAATTAAAAAGGAAATTTAAGTTTTACTTAAGAAAAAAACAAAGTACACTTTTCGTCTCATTTAAATGAAGCGCACACCTTGAACTTTAAGGTAGGCGCTTTAAGGTTTAAATTATTTAAACTATTTTACTGGTGGTAGGACCTCTTGTGAGTCCACGCGGGTAGGTACCACCGCCCTGCCTATTTCTGCCGTGAAGCAGTAATGTGTTTCGGTTTGAAGGGTGGGACAGCCGTTGTAACTATACTGATGTCTTAGAACTTATATCTCAAGGTGGGTGGCGCATTTACGTTGTAGATGTCCTTGGATTCGAGTAGCCACTTAACACCAGGTGAGCTGTGAGCTCGTCCAACCATCTAAGCAATAAAATAAAAATAAAATATTAAAATCAAAACTGATAAATAAAAATACTTCAATTACATTTTTGGTGCTCACCAAAAAACCAAGAATTTTGGATTAAGCCATTTCAATTTTAAAGGAGCGATATATTCTGTGTACTGTGTAGTCTTGAAATTCATTCCCGTTCAAGGCTAGGTCGAGAACGGCCGCGTCCTCACTCGACGGCTTAAGACTGAAATTTTTAAACATCGATTATATTTATTTACGTAAATCGATTTAAACGCCAAATTTGCTTCCCCTCACTAACTAATCGAGTCGATTTATTTTCGTGCTCAATAATCAGTATGGTTCGATAAGAATATGGTTTCGGTAATGCCTATCGTTTTTTTAATTAATTAACGCACGGTAATCATTGTTATGTGAATTTTTTTAGTGTCATTTTTTTTTTAAAATATAATATGGTTTTGGAAAAATGGATAACCCCTTTCAAGAGACAAGTAAGTGAATTTTACTATTTGAGTTTTCTCGGGTCAGCTTAGTGTTCAAAGTTCACAATAAAATACACATTAAAATCGAAAGCGATGTGACTCCAGTTTACATATTAAAATGACGTATATAACAAAAAAATAAAATCGAAAAACAATTTACGATCTTATGTTAATAACCATAAAGATAAACTATACTAATTTATAAATCTACAGTGGTTTTTACGGATGTTCCGTTATAACTACTGAACAATGCATCCGATTGACTTGAAACTTGGTATCCATGTAGAAAATACATGTACTTAATGGATAGGCTAATATTTATATGAGCGTCCCTACACCAGTTGCGGGGGCGTTAATGATGAGAATCTATGTGGGGGTGAGATATAATAATGTTAATTTTAAATACCCAGCTAAGCGGACGGGTACAGTTAGTAAACTTATAATTTTGAATAAGCCAGGCTGAAATAAGAGTCTGTTAAAACGGCAAACTTTTACTTTATTTTATTTGGGAGGCAGCGGCTTGGCTCTGCCCCTGGCATTGCTGAAGTCCATAGGCGACGGCAACCACTCACCATCAGGTGGGCCCGTCTGCCTACACCGGCAACAAAAAAGTTCGTTTAACACGCGTATGTCTCCAGATACTTTCTGTCTCATAACTAGTGGTTAAGGTAATCCAAATGTTCGCTGAACACATAGGATAGACCTAAATGTCTAATTTATATCGTATGCATATTCATTTTTTTAACAAACTTTTCTATCTTTTTCTTTTATGCATATGTATATACATATGTCTATATTTAGGAATACCTCAACGTAATTTTGATTTGATGAGAGCAATTTGAAAAATTGGCAAATTTGTAAATTAGCATACTTATCAAGCACTGTTAGAGAACAATACAGTATTTTCATTACCATGACCCAGAGAGATAGTTCACTAAAAAAAAATAAGGAAACATATTACTTTATTTTTACGTACAGCCCGCTAACCTCCCACTGTTTTCAAGTTTTAAACTTTATTAAGGCCTCTCAATTAGATTTCTATGAAAACTTAACATCATGGTTTGTTTTTTCACGAGATAGATAGGTCGATGCCTCCAATGAACACTACGCTAACTCCAAATTCTTAGATTTACAGGAGGAGCGTTTAAACGAAAAAAGTTGATAAAATATTTATTATTGCAGATATATTTATGGTTTTTTTGTGTAGCTAACTGATTTACTCTTGCTTCGAACCCCATAAATAATGATTAATTGTAATACTTTTAACATAGTTAAGCGATTTGCATGAAAAACGAAAATTTCAAAATTTCGAGTTAGAGTAGTGTTCATTAGAGGCATCGAGGTGAGCTGCCGACCTACCTATTGTTTAGGCACTGGGTCCATACAGATAGTATCGTGAATACCAATGGCCGACCTGATTTCTTACGCGTCCGAAATCTCAATTGTACGTATTGGACGACTATCACGCTCTTCAGTCTGTCAAAAAATTGTGAGAAAGAAAAAGGAAAACCCACAAAACTTTCATAAATACAAATTAATACTCACATTTCGAGAACTCCCAGACACAGCCCACGAGTTTCTCGCCGGATCTTCTCAGTGGGTCGCGTTTCCGATTAGGTGGTAGATTCTGCGAAGCACGGCTTTTGCTAGGGTTCGTGTTAGCAACGTCATCAGGTTTGAGCCCCGTGAGCTCACCTACAAACGTTAGGGTTACGCTGAAATAGCCTCTCAAGGTTCTCAGCTAAGGTAGGAAAAAAAAAAAAAAAAAAAAAAAAAAAAAATATATATATATATAAAAAAAAAAAAAAACCTTTGCGTACAAGGATTAGTATCTACTGCGCTACCATTATCTCTGTCTGGAGCGAAATACTTGATTCCCATACGAAATATAAATTAGGTTCAAATCATTCGGTGACCTTGACCGCACGTCTTAAGGTTAACGACGCCATTTACAGTAACGTGACGTCATGTAAGCGCAACTTTATGTAATAAAAAAGAACACGACACATTTATTTCTTTTTTTATTGCCTAGATGTGTGGACGAACTCGCAGCCCACCTGGTGTTAAGTGGTTACTGGAGCCCATAGATATCTACAACGTAGACGCGCTACCCACCTTGAGATATGAGTTCTAAAGTCTCAGTATAGTTACAACGGCTGCCCTACCCTTCAAACCAAAACGCATTACTGCTTCTCGGCAGAAATAGGCAGGGCGGTGGTACCTATCCGCGCGGACTCACAAGTGGTCCTACCACCAGTAATTACGCAAATTATAATTTTGCGGGTTTGATTTTTATTACACGATGTTATTCCTTCACCGTGGAAGTCAATCGTGAACATTAGTTGAGTACGTATTTCATTAGAAAAATTGGTACCCGCCTGCAAGTTTCGAACACCGTTGCATCGGTTCAACACGAATGCACCGGACGTCTTATCCTTTAGGCCACGACGACATTCACAAAAGAAAATGTATGCCTTAATTAGAAAAGCACGCCAGTGGCACTCAAACTTTTTCGTTCCGTAAACTTCTTAATACGCAATTGCTTGTTGTATTTCTAGCATGAACTTTGTGTTTATTTCGATGCGTCTACATCCTGACATAAGAAACTGTGTCTTCCCTCTGATATTTATAGGTGATATGTCTTATCGAGCCCCGTTTTCTATTTACTAGATCTGTCTCGTATAGAATTCGATGTGTATAGTCTAGGCGATCTTGCTGTGGATCGATACTATATCAAAAACAAAATTTTCATTACATTTTAATTTTAGAATATTTGTTTTTAATACTCTTTCTCATTTCGGTTTGAAGAGTGGGGCAGCCGTCGTAACTATACTGAGACCTTAGAACTTATATCTCAAGGTGGGTGGCGCATTTACGTCGTAGATGTCGATGGGCTCCAGTAACCACTTAACACCAGGTGGGCTGTGTGCCTGTCCACACATCTAAGCCATAATTTTTTTTTTTTTTTACGTTTTACTGCCTTAAAACATTTATTAAGATTCAGCCTTAAAAACGTGAAAACCGCTTTCAAAAATTAAAACTTCAAATCGTTTGCGGGAAACCCGCGATCGGGCTATGTTAGCTAATTACGACACTAAAGCACAGTTAGTAAAGTAGATTTTAGCACGCGATATCTTTAATCATTCCTAGCCTTTCATAAACTATGTAGTTACAGATCGTCAAATCGAAAAGATCGCTGCTATAAAAAACAAAAATGACCTAAACACTTCAATATCTTTGATCAGTCATTGACGTCATTTATTGTGTGACGGAAGTAGGCAGACGGCTGATAGATAAGATATATATACATAATATAATATATTTACATAATATCTAAGATATAAATATATAAGATAATACATTTTTATACGCATTATATTAACCACGTGTATGCACCGCCTATTAATATGACGGACATAATGAATCGTATGAACGAATCCATCTAATGCTGAGTGATCAACATCGCTGGTGGTAGGACCTCTTGTGAGTCCGCACGGGTAGGTACCACCTGTAACTATACTGGGACCTTAGAACTTATATCTCAAGGTGGGTGGCGCATTTACGTTGTAGATGTCTATGGACTCGAGTAACCATTTAACACCAGTGGGCTGTGAGTTCGTCCAGCCATGGCAACAAAAAAAATGGCAACCAGCCAATGCCAATCCTAGTTCAAGTTATAATGAAGTTTGGTAACGCGTTATTAAAGCGACTTATAAAATTGCATTTATAATTGCATCACCTTGAGATCTTAATGCAGCAATTCGTGTCGAACCATTCTAACCGGTTTAAATGCACACAGGACCGTCAAATGTCCTGACCGTTAATTCTCATCAGTCAAGTACAAAGCATCAAATGAATTAAAATCGAAATCTGGGTAGGATTTACTGTCTCAAAGTTTAGGATGTTGAGAAATTTCGTGTTTACCCTAAACAGTTTTTTTCCTACCTATGCTGATAGCCTTGAAAGGCTATTTCAGCGTAACCTTAACTAGTAGGTGAGCTCACGGGGCTCAAACCTGACGACGTTGCTAACACCAACCCTAGCAAGAGCCGTGCTTCGCTCGTCGAATCCTTCGACTAGGACGGTGACCGGCCTAAACAGTCTAATGGTGTGATGTAAACAAAAGTGCATTGGCCCTTGTAAAGATATTCGAAACTGTATAATTAAAACATTTTAGTGTGCTTAGTATGAGCTTTTTAACGTTCTCGATACAGTAAAAGTTAACTCAAATTTGTATGGAGTTGGAATTTTTGCCTACGTTTGCCGCTAGGGGCGCTGTTCCAACTCCATACAAATCTGAGTTAACTTTTACGTCATTGAGAAATTAAAAACTCGCATTAAGCACAAAATATTGAGTACAGTACAGTGAATAAATACCCTCCGGTATATTTTGTCTGTCTGATAATGAAAAAGAAATAGAGAAATTGAAATTTAGCAATAACATAAATAGGTTTTTTTTATTATTATTGCTATTTAACATGCCTGTATTGTCTGCAAGTCTTTTACATGATTTACTGGAAAAAAAAAACCGTTGTTTTTCGGAAATCCAAATAGTTCGGTCATCTTATCGGCATGATAATATATTTTTAGTGACTATTTTATATCGATCAAAACTTTTTTCAATACTTTGTTATTGTCAACTATTTTCCCTCTTTTTCAACCATAATTTCGGAAAGGCATGACAGCTTCGTAGCAGAAATAGGCAGAATGGTGGTACCTAATCGATCGGTCTCACTAGCGAATATATACAATCCGATATCCGATACGTATAAATTATTACAAAATCTCTGATCGGCACTCATCATTGACCCTGTGTGACATATATATCGAATGAAATCACGAATCGGCCATAAAGTTATTGATTTATATTACAATATCGACCCAAGAGAATCGCCTTTATAGTATTATCTGTAAAGGTTTAATTCTTATCAGATCGACTGAACTTACGATCTTTCGATTCTGATCAAGAGTTATCTGACATTGAAAACGAAGTTTAGTGACATATTAATCGACAATTTCATTACATAATTTTTTTATATCATCATGCTCAAATGTTTTCCGATAGTATATCTTGGTTTTACGTAGACCGAACTGCGGGATTAACCAACTAACTTCTTGTAGCAGATTGTTAACTGTCCTTACGACAGTAAAAAAATTATAAAGGTCGTAGGGAGATGAGCACACCGCCCACCTGATGGTGAGTGGTAGCCGTCGCTCATGAGTAGAAAGTCGATTTCAATTCGATAGGAAAATACCATACGCAGTTGGATAACGAACAAGCGAATATACGCACATTTTTGTTTATTACGTAGACAGGTAAATGGGTTTATAGCGTCACCCAAACTTTTAAGCTATTGCATAGCTTTTATCGCGGGCCTTGAGCGCGGCACCGAATCATGAAATTCCGTAACGAAAAAAACCTTACACCCCTCACTCCGCCTACAATGTAGCTCGCGTTCAACACATTCACACGTTGCGCTTGTGTAGTGTTTGTGAATAAGCGCGTGGCGTGACGTTGCACTGAATGCGCATCATGAAAAGTCTGCCCTTCTCTTTCTCGCGCGGTCTAGCTTATGAGTGTGAAGGGGACAGTTAAGGTTTTGCTTTTATTAATGTTTAATATAGCGTGGTCTTGTTTTATTATTGTTTTAATATTAAATTATCATTGTCTAATTATAATTGCATAAGTTGATAAAAAATGCTATGCAATAGCTTTACCGCGGCAGTTCCCGAGTGCCACACGTTTTTTTTTTCGAGCCGGGGACAAGAACCTCCTACGAGGTGTGCGCCAGGTAGGTCACGGGTGCCCTACGTAGCGCACTGAACTAATGATGTCGATTTCTGTTACTAAGCGCCCGGATTGCCTAACCTTGCCTTCTTGTGTTTGTTAATGAATGTTTTTGTCATCAAGGTCTCTCAGAAATTGATTCCTTCTCAGTATCTTCGGACTCGTTTTTCCTAGAGTCTACTAGATAATCCGGCGCTTTAGTAACATAAATCGATATAATTACTTCAGTGTGGCATGTAGGGAACCGGTGACCTACTTTGCAATCAAACGGCCAAGTATTTCATTAGAAAAATTGTAAGCTGTCTGCGGGATTTGAGTACCGGCACAATTGCATCGTATTGAATACTCCGTGCGTCATAACCTATAGGCCACGACGACTGTGAAGAAGTCAAATTCTTATACCAATGCAAAATTGTATCGTGATTTAAGTTTTCATATATATATTTTTTTTTTATTGCTTAGATGGGAGGACGAGCTCACAGCCCACCTGGTGTTATGTGGTTACTGGAGCCCGTAGACATCTACAACGTAAATGCGCCACCCACCATGAGATATAAGTTCTAATGTCTCAGTATAGTTACAACGGCTACCCCACCCTTCGAACCGAAACGCATTACTGCTTCACGGCGGAAATAGGCCGGGTGGTGGTACCTACCCGTGCGGACTCCCAAGAGGTCCTGCCACCAGTATTTACAGTTGAGGCTTAGTAAGACTCTTTTAACGTTCTCGATAGCGTAAAAGTTAACTCAAGTTTGTATGGAGTCTGAACAGCGCCTCTAGCGGCAAACGCAGGCAAACGTTCCAACTCCATACAAACTTCCGTTAACTTTTACGGTATCGCACTAAGCACACTTGTCTCGCTTACAGTGTTTCGTGGTCGCTGGCGTGTCTCTGAACATGTCGCAGCTTGGAATGGTGTTTGGATACGCTGCCATTCTCGTGCCACAGCTGCGAAAGCCGGACTCGCTCATACCAATCGATGAAGCCTCGGAATCTTGGGTCGGTGAGTACACAAAACTGAATCGTACCGATTACAACCGCAAGGAATTTGGTATAAACTGAAACTTGAAACGTCCTACCTCTTTTTTTTTATTGCTTAGGTAGGTGGACTGCCCACATGATGTTAAGTGGTTACCGGAGCCCAACGCAAATGCGCCACTCACCTTGAGATATAAGTTCTAAGGTCACAGTATAGCTACAACGGCTGCCCCACCCTTCAAACCGAAACGCATTACTGCTTTACGGCAGAAATAGACGGGGCAGTGGTACTTGCCCGTAGGGACTCACAAAAGATCCTACCACCAGTAATTACGCAAATTATAATTTTGCTGGTTTGATTTTTATTACACGATGTTATTCCTTCACCGTGGAAGTCAATCGTGAACATTTGTTTAGTACGTATTTCATTAGAAAAATTGATACCCGCCTGGGGGATTCGAACACATGCATCGGATGTCTTATCCATTAGGCCACGACGACTAATTTTCACCATATCCAAACTAATGCGAGTACTACTCCCGTGAAATATAAATTATAGTTTAAATTTATTTATAGGTAATAAGGTAATCGTTATACAACCGCTACAACCCCGATAACTAGTACCTATAAGGAACAAGCAGCGGCTTGGCTCTGCCCCTGACATTGCTGAAGTCCATGGGCGACGGTAACCACTCACCATCAGGTGGGCCGTATGCTCGTCTGCCTACAAGGGCAATAAAAAAAAAAAATTAAAAAAAAAAATAATAACAATAGCTTTATTGATAGGGAATCCAATCTCTACGTATTTGAAACATAGCCTTTGGTGTCCCAAATCGACGTTTTGTTGCAAAAGTTTTAGCAACCGTCGCTACCAGATCAAGGAAATAACTCCATTGCAAATTATTTCTTTAGCTTAACGCTATAGAGGTCGTATCTGAATACTGACTACAAAATAAATGCGTCTGTTTTTTTTTTCTTTGTGTCTGACAAACACGCAGGTTTCCAAATTATTTCTCAAGGTCGTTCGCCAACGTCGAATTCAGACGAAAGATCTCGACAATTACGTGCTCTGAATTAAATGAAAATTTCCTCCTTTGGAAGAGTGTCCGAAATTATTTAAAAAAATATCTTGCCTATGACGTTTTCTTACTATCTAGTAAAATTTATGTAATAAAAAATATATATGTGCGTAAACATAAAAAAGGCCGGAAAAAATATATTTTAATTCAGGTATTACTTACAAAGCTGGAAAAAAAACCTTTGAGCCAAAAGTAATCCGTCCATCCCAAAAAAAACCTTTGTCCCGGCCGTTGGTCACGTTCATAAGCGACATCGAACACTTACCATCGGAGAATGTGTTATTCCGCTATCAAAAAGCATATAAATGAAACCACACTTATCACTAACCGAGTTTAGTAAATCTTTCTTCTTTCTTTATATATAAAAATGAATTGCTGTTCGTTAGTCTCGCTAAAACTCGAGAACGGCTGGACCGATTTGGCTAATTTTGGTCTTGAGTTATACATGAAAATGCTCGGAATTAAATAAAAATAACAATTTTGTTTTCCTTTGATGTGTACCCCGTCGGACGGATTACTTTTGTTTGTTTTTAGTTTATTTTAGACAAAAGTTTAGGTCTTTTATTTATCGATTGAGGCACTACGAAGTCTGCCGGGTCCGCTAGTAAATAAATAAATACCTGTTGCCCTTTGCAAAGGAATTTTTTTTTTACTTGTTATTTTTTTTCTCTCTTAGCCTTATGTAAAGAACTGTGTTAAGCGACCATGTCTCAGTGCTAAATAGATACTATTATTATCGATTTTTATCCATAATTCGGTCCTTCCTTTCCTTTTGTTTGTTTTAAGTTTATTTTATACTAAATTTTAGGTATTTTGTTTATCGATTGAGGCCCTACGAAGTCTGCCGGGTCAGCTAGTACGAAATATATTATTTGGATGCAGACATACGTAGCTTGTGTCATCTTCGTTCACCTGTAAAGAATTTTAAACTCAATATTTTCTGCAAGTCATTCTAACTAGAACAAAATTTTAGAATAAGCAATAAAATAAGCTAAACACGTTTCTCATAATAATATAAGTTCCGTTTATAGGTACTACACCGTGAATAATAATTACATCGCGTGATACAAACTTAGAAAACAATAAAAACAATAGGTACATTATTCATTTATTTTTTTATTGCTTAGATGCGTGGACTAGCTCACAGCCCACCTGATGTTAAGTGGTTACTGGAGCCCATAGACATCTACAACGTAAATGCGCCACCCACCTTGAGATATAAGTTCTAAGGTCTCAATAAACTTACAACGGCTGCCCCACCCTTCAAACCGAAACGCATTACTGCTTCACGGCAGAAATAGGCAGGGCGATGGTACCTACCCGTGCGGACTCACAAGAGGTCCTACCACCAGTTTGTTTTAGAACCTTCGAATCAACGGTCGACGAACGGTCAATACCATCTTTACCATAACGGTAGACGGGGTCCGTGCCCAGAGCCCCCCATTCTCAGGGAACCCCGAAAGACCGACAATTTCTCTCACACGTTTACATATTCTCAAAACATTTTTGTCGGGCACATTACACTTTTTTCACAAATCAGTAATCAGAAGATATTTACAAGGCATATACTATGCCTATAATAGAAAATTTTGCTCAACAGAAATCCCGAAAGAAACCGTTATCGAAATCGTAACCAAAAAACCAGCAGCATTCTAATATCATTAATGACATATTATATCATACTGTCATACTCAGTAAAAAAATGTTATTATAATTCGCTTTTTTTACTTTCCAAAAGGGCCTCAAATTCTTGTGTGCCCAAGGGCCCCATCCTAGCTTAAGACGTCCCTGTGTGTGGTAGGACCTCTTATGAGTCCGCACGGGTGGGTACCACCACCCTGCCTATTTCTATCGTGAAGCAGTAATCCGTTTCGGTTTGAAGGGTGGGACAGCCGTTGTAACTATACTTGAGACCTTAGAACTTATATCTCAAGGTGGGTGGCGCATTTACGTTGCGGATGTCTATGGGCTCTAGTAGCCACTTAACACCAGGTGGTTGTGAGCTCGTCCACCCAAAAAAAGATGTTTTTAAGTCCTATAGTAGAATTATTTTGCCCGTGCAGTTTGGGTGATAAAAAATCGGAGCGGTGAAGCGAGTATTTCCCTCTCTCTTCCACTCACGAGCCTTATGGACGGGCATAGTGATGCGCATTATTGTTGTCGATAAGCCTTATCGATAGTGTATTTAGTTTTGTCATTTTGTGGGTTAGTGATAAAAATGAAATAAAAAATCACTAATCGAACACTTACACCACATATCGCCCCAGCAAGTTAACTAGAACGGCAGAAATTAACATTTTGTAACTTTTCGTTTTGATACAAAACAAAGGAGTAGCCATTGTTTCACTAAAGAAATTCAGAGAACGAATGCATAAAAACCCATTTCTCCTCGACATAATGTACTATAATTTGCAGGTAAGTACAAATGACTCATAACATAACAATGTCTCACCATCTTTCGTATACCGCCCCGCCGCCGTGTACCTACCTTCGATGACTCATTTGTTTTTATCGATAACGGCGTTGCGCCCGCGCAACATGCTCACCGCCCTAGCCGGGCTATGTTTCATGACCCAAACTGCACCGACAAAATAATTCTACTATAGTTACGCTAATCTTTATTATAAAAATTTTTAATTAGTTTTTGTCACTGCATAGGTACGTACAAGTAGCAGGTGCAATAATTTCGTACAGAAAAATTACAATATTCTTTTCAACGTTTATTTTATCACTATTTAAACTACAACAGCAAACACAGCTGCAATTTACAATGTCGTCGATTGTGGATAAACAAATAAAAGTACTTTTTTTGTCAAATGATCCTTCATGAACGCTTTCAGACAAGACTACTGCTGATGCACATTGCATTATCCCAATAAGACGAATCGGTTGGAAACTCGGTACTTGATGTTTTAAAAATTATATTCACGTTACAAAATAAAAGAAATACACATTCCACAAACAGATCCCGCTCATTCTGGCCTTCTTCCTGTTGTCCATCTATTCTGTACGTCAAGCAAGAAAATCTATCGAATTCGTAATGTAAATGTATCGAGTTGTCGATACGAAAACGGTTCGTTACATTAGATGGTAGTACTCGATAGCCAGCCTTCGAGAGATTTACGTTATCTAACCCACGCATCAGCCCGCTGAGTTTCTCGCCGGATCTTCTCAGCGGGTTGCAATTCGGATCCGGTAGTAGATTCATTCGCGAAGCAATTGCTCTTGAGTTGTTAGGTCTCCTTCGGAGGCGCTCGGGCAGCTGTTGGCAAATCCCACCCCTCCTGGCTGAGCCTTTGCTCGCCCACCTGTCCTGGTGAAACTGGAAAGGCCTTCGGGCCACCAGTAATCTTTCAATCATAAAAAAAAAAAAGATTTACGTCACCGCATGTCAAAACAATTTTCGTGCTCTTGATTATAAGTTTCGAGTTTCGAGAACTTGATGATTCAATTGCGAAACAAATATATGTTAATTCATTCGTACTGCTGAAATTCATTCTTTTTACGGACGGTAGGGGCGCTGTTTAAATTCTCGATAGATAAGTCATTAGTGCTCGCCGCTCTGTGCGCTTAGTGCGAGTTTTTTAACGTTCCCGATAGCGTAAAAGTTAGCTCATAATATGTGTATGGAATGGGATCGTTTGCGTACGTTTGCCGCTAGGGGCGCTGTTCCAACTGCATACAAAGTTGGGTTAACTTTTACGCTATCGAGAACGTTAAGAAACTCGCACTAAGCACACAGATTAAACAAACCTTGTCCGTTTCTCCACAGCTGCCGTATCTTGCAGCTACGCATCGCCTATCTACACCCTAACTCTATTTTAAATGATCACTATTCATATTTTAAACATATAAGATTTGACTGTCTTTGACCAGTCGCCAGCTGACGTCAACCCTTCTTAGGTTTGAGCAGTAACCCCCTCTCATACAGACTGACAGTGTCAAGGTTTTTGTTATTCTATACCAATGTACTTTTTACTGGTTTACAGTTTTTCACTGGTGGTAGAGCCTCTTGTGAGTCTACGCGGGTAGGTACCACCACCACGCCTATTTCTGCGGTGAAGCAGTAATGCGTTTCGGTTTGAAGGGTGGGACAGCGGTTGTAACTATACTTGAGACTATAGAACTTATATCTCAAGGTGGGTGGCGCATTTACGTTATAGATGTCTATGGGCTCCAGTAACCACTAAATACCAGGTGGGCTGTGAGATCGTCCACCCATGGGAGCAAATAAAAAAATAAAAATAAACCGCAGTATCTATCACCGGATCGGAAACGCGACCCACTGAGAAAATCCGGCGAGAAACTCAGTGGCCCATCTACTGTTCTACCGCGATAACAGTGAGCCTAAGTGAGCCCTCAATTAATGAAGCGCCACACCGCCTCGTCAACACTGCTGTTTGTGGATTTATCAGTTGGATATGTCGCTTTTATGGCCCACTATTCTTGGATCTTTCGATGAGCAAATTGTTTTCTACGGCCGTCCCCACACGGTTCATGTTTGAATCTTATTTTACGTAACGTGGTACTATAAAAATGTTCATTATTTCAGATTATAGGGAGAACTATAAAATAAATTCATATTAAACACATTAAAAAAACCTAATATGTAGTTTGCATAATACCTAACAATATGCAATATAAATTAATGGGAGGATCCGAAACGACCAGTGACGGTTTTTTTTTTTATTGCTTAGGTGTGTGTACGAGCTCACAGCCCCCCGGGTGGCACATTTACGTTGTAGACATCTACAACGTAAATGCGCCACACACCTTGAGATATAAGTTCTAAGGTCTCAGTATAGTCACAACGGCTGCCCCACCGTTCAAACCGAAACGCATTACGGCTTCACGGCAGAAATAGGCGGGGCGGTGGTACCTACCCGTGCGGACTCACAAGAGATCCTACCATCAGTAATTACGCAAATTATAATTTTGCGGGTTTGATTTTTATTACACGATATTATTCCTTCACCGTGGAGTGAACATTTGTTAAGTACGTATTTCATCAGAAAAATTGGTACCCGCGGGAGTACTTGCGGGATTCGTACATCGTGGCATCGCTACATACGAATGCACCGGACGTCTTATCCTTTAGGCCAGGACGACTCCATAAATGCTTCGTAACGCTTCGTGAGCATTGACCTTCGATTAAACTCCTCAGTCGATCTTTCCGTCGAAATATAAGCGATACTCGCATTTTATAATTAAAATTGTAAACTAATGTGTATTTTTTTTTGTTTAAAATTAATGAACTACTCACACATTTAAAGCGTTAATAGATTGTTTAATTTAGTGACTTTTAATGAATTTTGAAGGTTGTGTTCTGAAATACAAGTATAATGTAGGAAGTCAACGGATAGTTTTCCATAAAAAAAACTATTTTCCTTTTTTGTTATTTTCTTTTGTCTGCAACAGAGATTATAATCGCCCATTGTAACGACTGTAAAATAATTTTATGTTTTTTTTGGTGTTGGTATAGTAAATCAAACTGTTTTGAATACTATATATAATAACCTAGGATACTCATTTTCCTGCCCTTCTCCCAGTCACTTGAGGTCGGCGCAATATGTTTTCTCCTTCCATACTCCTCTATCATAAACCATTTCTACGCTCACTCCCCTCTTACACATATGGACTTTCGCGCAATCCATCCATTTTTTCTTAGGTCTACCTCTTCCTCTAACGCCTTCCACATTCATAGTTAAAACTCTATTAACAACCTCATTGTCAATTCGTTTCATCACATGTCCATACCATCCCAAACGCGCACTTCTCAACTTCTCTGTCACAGGTGTCACTTTCAGACTTCCTCTGAAATATTCATTCCGTATTATATCCATTCTCGTTACTATACACATCCATCACAACATTCGTATCTCTGCTGTATGCAATCGCCAAAAGGATACTATACAGGGTTATTGGTAATTCGATTTGGTCCGCCCAGGATAAGATCCTCCTCCACCTTTTCTTTTTATGCCCTTGTAGGCAGACGAGCATACGGCCCACCTGATGGCGAGTGGTTACCGTCGCCCATGGACTTCAGCAATGCCAGGGGCAGAGCCAAGCCGCTGCCTACAAACCACCTTGCATCATGTTCCTCAGTACTGAAGATCGTGACCCTTACCGAGCACTATTCGCACTATCAGACCAGCGCATGTGACTACGCCCCCTTGGCCTCTTTCCTTCCATTTTGTCGACGATGAGTAGTTTTTCAAGATCGCAACCTTCTTCCTCGCAACGTGACCGAAAAACTCGAAAAAAAATAGGCAAGTGGTGGAAAGTCTTGTAGAGACGCTTAGTTCTTCCAGGATTTATGCGTTGGTCCCATATGCCATCGAGGGAATTCGCATTATCTTCCTCTAGCACGACATAGGATAGAAGGGGTCCTTACGGATCCATCAGATCCAATAACTCTTGCATTAGATACCTTCAGCTCTAACACTAGGAGCAGGCTGGGGAGCCCCGGTAACCGTACTCGTCGAACTCGACAAAGAGGTCGACGTGCAGCCTAACCCATGCATCAGCCCGCTGAGTTTCTCACCGGATTTTCTCAGTGGGTCGCGATTCCGATCCGGTAGTAGATTCATTCGCGAAGCAATTGCTCTTGAGTTGTTAGATCTCCTTCGGAGGCGCTCGGGCAGTTGTTAGCAAATCCCACCCCTCCTGGCTGAGTCTATGCTCGCCGACCTGTCCTGGTGAAGCTGGAAAGGCCTCCGGGCCACCAGTAATCTTTCAATCATAAAAAAAGAATGGCAGGGCAAAAATGCTACAGATTTAACCCCCTCAATCTATGGACGAAAGTTGGTGGGTCAAGTCTCATCTTGGCCGGAGCACATCGACCTAAAAGTAATCCTGTAGGTTATAAACGAAAATTTGGTTCTCTCTGGTCTTCGCGAGTCACAGACACAAGAAATTGTTAAAACTACATTAATCAGTCGGTAAAGTTAACGAAAACTGTCTTCATATAATTCGGACATTTAGGTACATACAATTACAATATTTTTTACAAATGTTGATTGCTATGATGTTTTATGCGAAAATTAAATGCTATTCTGTCCGTAGAAAGCCGTTCATTGCTCAGTAATGGAATAAATTTAACTTGAAATTTTTCCTATTTCAGCTGCACTGCCTGGATTCGCTTTGGTGTTGGGAAACCTTGTGGTGCCACCGGTGATGGCTAAATTCGGGAGACGAATAGCCAATATCATCAGCATAGTGATCGTCTTAACTGGATGGATATCCATTACGTTATCTACAGGCCTCACGCTGCTCCTCATAGGAAGATTCCTGCAAGGACTGTCCGTGGGCATGGGTTCGTGTCTCATTCCGATAATGATAGGCGAATACACAAGCTCAACGAGGAGGGGTCAATTCTCAATGTGCATGTCAGTTATAATGGGCTTAGGTACGTTAGCAGTCCACACGGTCGGATCCTATTACTCGTGGAAAATCACGGCCCTCGTGTGTTCAACAATAACGTTCTTCGATTTAATAATCGTCATATTATCACCGGAATCGCCGAGCTGGCTCGCGGCACAGGGAAGATACGACGAATGCAGAAGAGTGTTTAGATTACTAAGAACAATCGACGAAGAGGAGGAACTAGATAAAATGCTGGCGAAGAGTAAAGAGCTCGAAGATGCGAAGATCATCCGTACCGGTTTCGTGGTTAAGGTTAAAGGAGGTTTTAGTTACATAAACAAAACAATAACTAGGAAGGAGTTTTACAAGCCAATCTTTATTATGGTTCATTTGTTTGCTATGGGCCAATGGGCTGGGATCAACGTCTTAGCGCCATTCACAGTTAACGTTATTGAAATAATCGTCGGTAAGGACGTGAACATTCCGCTAATTACCGTCGCTATCGACATACAAAGAATAATATCGTCTCTATTCGCGGTTTACATCATAAAACGTATAAAGAGGAGAACTATGCTGTTTTCCACGTTAGGTTTGAACGCTGCTGTGATCTTCGTTACGGCCGCATACGTCTACTTCAAATCCCGCGGTCAATTGCCCTTCGACCATCCAATGATCGGGATAACTCTGATACTAATTCACATGCTCTCGGTAGCGACGGGCTCTCTGCCTTTACCCTATACGATAGCGGGCGAAATCTTCCCTCTGGAATACAGGAGTCTGTCGAGCGGGATAAGCGCCGTGTTCTGTTCGATAAACATTTTTGTTTCCATCAAAACCTTACCGTATTTATTTAAAACGATTGGAATGCACGGAGCTTATTGCCTCTACGGCGTAATACTGGTCTATTGCTTGACCATAGCCTGGTTCTTCCTGCCAGAGACGAAGGATAGGACGCTGCAAGACATTGAGAACGAGTTCAGGGGGAAAATGACGTATCCTGAGGATTTGAAGTCGGCGGAACCGTTGACGGTCTGGAAGAGTAATGAGGAGAAAGCTTAGATCCAACTGTGATTGATACAGATAAAACATAACAATATTTTAAGATGACGTACTTAAATTGTCATTATGAAGAAAACTAGTAACGTTTCTATGGGAAAGTTGCCGTAAAAGTATTCACAGTGAAGGCCATTGAAATGTCCGTGGCGTAGCGTGCGAGACACGCGGCGTACTCGTATCGAGTTTCACGAATATTGTACTATTTATGCATAAACAATGTTTATTATTAATCTATCATAAGTTTACTTAAGTTTTTTTTTATTGCTTAGATGGGCGGACGAGCTCACAGCCCACCTGGTATTAAGTGGTTACTGGAGCCCATATACATCTACAACGTAAATGCGCCACCCATCTTGAGATATAAGTTCCAAGGCCTCAGTATAGTTACGACTGCCCCACCCTTCAAACCGAAACGCATTACTGCTTCACGGCAGAAATAGGCAGGGTGGTGGAACTAACAAGAGGTCCTACCACCAGTAAAAAAGTGTGACAGATGTCAAGTTATGTGATAAAATATGTTTGTCAATTGTTTAATTGTGTACTTAAAATAATTGAAAGTAATACGAGCACTTATAATTTAAGCAATCACTTAAAGAGAGTTGAAGGAAATTTTGCCGTTTTAATTATTTCTTCCAAACAGATAAAGAGTATACAGTTTGGTAGGTGTGTTGCGTATATGGACAAGCTCATGGGTGTTTTGGTGTACTCATTGAGCCACCAGAATAACAGTCGCATTAGTGAGCGTCAACAATCCCAGGGGCAGAGCCAAGCCACTGACTACCGTTATATACTCTCCACAAGCCTCGTTTGAAGAAGGACATGTCATAGCGCTCGGGAAACACCGTGGAGGGGAGCTCATTCTAAAGCCGGATGGTACGTGGCAAAAAAGATATCTGGAAACGCACTGAATGAATACAGTGGCTCCAAATAGTATAAATGAACTCTACTCCGGTGCCGGGCGGTACTATGGTATAAACGAGATGATGGGATAATCTCAAACAATTCCTCAGAGCACACACTTTCTTAGTTTAATATCAATATGAACAGATATGAGTAGAAGCGTTATTTTGATAATATCCTGAAAAGCACCCCACGCTTTTTTACAATAAAATCATTTTTTCTCAAACTATTAATTCAAATTTATTAAAATTTATTTTCTATTTTTTAGTTGGATTTTCTATAAAAGCGTGTTCTGTTAGTTTTTTTAAACTATTATTTATTTTGTTTTATGTATTTATTTTAGTTAAATTTCAATTTTTTCAATATATTTTTTTCGAGTTAAACAGACGTTTGGAAGAGGGTCAAAATCATGTTCAAAGATTCCGTTACAAACATACATACATACGTCTGAAGCTAGTAAAAGCTTATTAAAAAGCACACGCCTTGCGTCAATAGCCTATTGGCTTTTTTAGGATGTAAGCATCGAGTAAGGTCTACAGACCTTGCCTCTTGGCAGACGGATGCGAGGAATGAGCGAACACACGAGTAACATTTTTTTTTTTTTAACAATCACGCCACGTTAACTGGTCCCGTGATAAGTTCGTAAAGAACTTGTGTTACAGGTACCAGATAACGGATATAAATGTAAGATTTTTATTATACACATACATATATTTAATAGACGTCCATAACCCTGGAAAAGACATTTATATTTATCATACAAATATCTTCCCTTGACGGGATTCGAACCCGCGACCCCCTCGTGTAGTGACCATGTCACTTACCACTACACCAGACGGCCGTTACTACACCAGACGGCCGTTATTAACATTATCTGAGATCAGAGTCCACGAACCGACGTTTCCATCGAAACTATACTCCACACATCCAAACGCAAAATTCAAAGGATATAAATAAAACGACACAAACAATATTTATAGTTATACATTTTTACATAATTTTTTTTAAATAATACAGGCGGTTACATAATAAGAAATAAATAGTATAATAATAAATCATCGGATTCATTCGTAGTTTGTGATGTAAAAATTATCACATTACATACGTAGGTATATTACTGTACAGTAGGGTAAAATTAACGAAGCCACAATACAAATGTACTAAAAAATGTTTTTGTTGTTTTTTTAAGAACACTGTTAAGACATCAGTTTCGGTTAATGCTCGTAGTCAATCGTGAATTAAGAATGTGCGATTAAGAATGCGATTGTGACACGTTAATGTTTATATTAAATATCGGTTGGGTCCAGCTTGGGCACTCTTGAAGTCGGTCATCATAATCAACAGCCATGAGCAACTGTCCCACTTTTGGACAGTCCCACTGTACAACAGTTCTAATGCTGAACTGTCCCACTGCTAGGCAGTCCCACTGCTGGACAGTCCCACTGCTACACTGTCCCATTGTAGAACAGTTCTAATGCTAAACTGTCTCACTGTACAACAGTTCCAATGCTGAACTGTCCCACTGCTGGACAGTCTCAATGCTGTGCAGTCCCACTGCTGGACAATCATCTTCAAATACGCGTCACTGAGCACGATCACCAGCTCTTCTGGTGCAGACCTCGCCGCGTCTGTCAACGGTTGGCAGTTTTTTTTTTATGATTGAAGGATTACTGGTGGCCCGGAGACCTTTCTAATTTTACAAGGTCAGGTGGGCGAGCAAAGGCGCAGCCAGGAGGGGTGGGATTAGCTAACAGCTGCCCGAGCGCCTCCGAAGAAGACCTATTAGCTCAAAAGCAGCTGTTAGGTGAATGAATCTACTACCGGATCGGAATCGCGACCCGCTGAGGGTTGGAAGTATCTCAGGAGCGCGAAGAGTCAACTTTTGATGAAGTTATTTTTAAGCCCTAGAGCTTTAACCGTGCGTACTTCTTAAGACTATGGGTATTGGGTTTTCATAGAACCAGTCGTAGAATTAATTTAAACCCTCAATAAGCATGTTGATTGTAATGAAATTCGAATTAATATTCCCAATGTAATTAATCTATTAGTAGATACGCCACGTCACAGACGCGGAAGGATACCGACACAGAAAAATTAACATGTTCTTCGACCAAAACTAATATCTTAACCATCATGTCAATTAACATGTTATTGATAATAAAATTGACATCTTCTTAGACGAAAACGTGTCAATCGTTGTGTAGAAAATGTAGTAAATGTTTTATATATTACTTTTTAGTGTGCGTACAAAAGTTATTACATCATTTTGTGCTTTATGTCGTATTAAATAGTAGATAAATTACAATGGACGACTAAAACCCGTACGTTATATGCTATTTCTAGTAAGAAAAATATTGTACTGAAAATACCTTTTATTTTTCGGAATTTATTTGTCATTTTCCATCCTGTTTAAAGAATACATGCAAAGTTCGTAATGCGAGATTAACAGAAAGCTTTATAATCAAACTTTGTAAATTATCTACGATTTACAAAACGTATGTATAAAAATATGTTGTGAGAAATGTTAATTATAATAATAACAAAAGTGAGTAGGTTGATTTTCAAAATAACAAAAAAAAAAAAAGTATCCGTAATATCAGTCTGTTGTGTAAAATTGTAATGCTAATTTAAAAGAAAAAAAACTGGAATGCGAAGAATCATATAACGAGGAAGTATTAATATATTGGCACAGTACATTTAAAAGGCGGTAATATTAAAAAACACATTGGCGCATGCACAGATTGCACACAAATGAATGTTTATGGTATTTTATCTTATTTAACCATAGACTATATAAAGTATTTATTTAGGACACGGTAATCAAAAAAAAAACTAGGCCCATCCCTGATCACTAAAGCCATACTATTTCGAATGACAGTTTTGCAATATTTTTTCAACGTAAACTTTCCAAAACTATGCACACTTTTGTTTTACAGTTTAAGATCCACAGAAATAAATATACACATAATCGAAATTAACATAAATATTATGTATTCAAATCTGGCGTACAACACGGAACATCGAATACAAAATCTATAAGTCGTATTTTGACTAACATTTGTGCATTCATCGTCTAAAATAAAAAAATAAAAAAAAAACTACTCGATAATGAGACAGACATAGATCTACATAATACATTTGACAGTTAGTTACGTCAGTTAGTTACGTCAATGTCAGTCGAAATACGAACTATAAATCCAGCGTATTGAGGATAGAGGTAAGGAGTACCATCTTGTATAGGGGACAAGTTGAAAAAGTGTTCATTAGTAGTAACTCACCGACGAAAAACACTAGGGTAGGAAATGGAAATAATATGAACATAGCAGTTTTAACAGAGTGAAGTGTGGTAGTTTTTAAATCTTTTCACTGGCTACTGAGGCGCCATCTCAATTGGGTGTCCCTTTTAGCGGACACTTTTTATTTATTTATTTATTAAGTTGCACCGTGATCATCAATACAAAACATTAGACAAATTGACAAAAGTTCATGACAGATGTCACCTCAATTATAGGTGCAATCGACAGTGCATTAGCAAAAAAAATAAAAAAATTATATAACTAAGATTATATAATTTTTTTATACATAGAGATGCTACTTCTTACTTCTACCCTCCATAATCCAGCGCTACATCTAAAATACATATACTTACACATTAATATGGCTGGCTTCATTTCGATAACAAAAAAAATACTTACATATTTGATTTAAACACATTTTACGAATTACTACGCGATTCCAGAGGTAAATATTTATGTTCAAGTAAGCTCAATAATAAAATAATATAAAGTATTTGAGCCAATTAGGTTTAATATCAGTTTGTATATTCATGTTTTCGCAGGATTGAATTCGCGATGGCGTCCCGAAATTTGTTATTGTAAATACTTTGGTTACGCAAACGATCCAATATAATGGGGTTTTTTTTAAGGATTTTATGAAATGTTTATATGTGTGTGAGTTCATGGCCCAACCAAAGCGTAAAGCGGTTATTGGGGCCGACAAGTATCACATTGCGAATAGCACGGTCCATTTTGAAACATAAAGTCCAAGTATCAATTTTATAAGTATACCGTAAAAAAAAAAACCTTATCTTATGTTGACAGTCCGATCACTACACCTCCCCCCGCGCACTCCGCTTACCCTCGTCCGTCTGAACGATTCGGAAACCGAGCGCGTTACGATGATGACCCGAAAATACTTTTGTGGTATCAAAATCATAACAGTACTTTGACTTTCTCGATATTCGAGAGGCGAATGTCTTATAGAAACGATGCAATAACAAATTACATTCACATCCTTATACCTATGGAGAACGTAAGAACACGAGAGACGACATACAAGTCCATAACCGTAAGATCGTATGTGCGACACGTTGACAAAGTATTTGAGTCTCTATTTGCTTGTAACGAAAAATTATATTGCATTAAAATACGAATCCGTATTATGTAACTTCAGAAAGTATGACGATGATTAATGAGCTTCGATTAATTACCAACGAATTCGGCTAGTTTGTGGAAAATATCGATTATAAATAAGGGATCGGTATCGTGTAACCAAAACGTCAATATCAGCCAGCTTATAGACATCCCCTGCTGGCTATGGATCTCCTACAAGGTTCGCCACAATGAGTGATCCTGCGCTGCCCACAGTCAGTGGATTTCAAAGATCAATAAGCGCGATCCCAGCTCTACCATATAGGAGATCTAACCACACTGTCTTCCGATGCGCGATAACATAAATTACTTCAATTAATTTATAAATTAAATGAAATAATTATTAAATTATTAAAATGAGTACAATAAGTTGAAATAGAGTATTTAGTTAAATCATAATTAACAAATAGATAGTGAAAAAGTTATCGTTAAATTTCAAAATCAAACATACGACCTTATAGTTCACAACGACACGATTTTCTAAAACTACTCTTATTTGTTCTGACGTATGCACGACAACGACGAAGCGTAATTCAATTCTGCTTAACAGAAACATAGGAAGGACATTGAAAAGAAGATTGGACATGAAACTGCCCGAAAATATAATAGTTTCACTAAAATACCAGACTTCGGAATTATTCGGAAATTTCCGAGGGATGCGAGCGTGCAAAAATAGTTTAAAGAAAGACAAGAAAAGTAGAATTTTCAATGGAGAAAAAAGGATCAATATACGATCTGGAAACTACATACAAACATATTCGATATATCCCATATTACTACAATAATTAACTAAGCTAGACTAAGCCGTTAAACATATCAACGAATTGAGGAAACTACAAAAGTTACACTGGCCTTTGAGTTCTTAAGACAGCAGTTCACTTTTCTCAGGTAAATAACTATGAATACGATAAATAGCGGTAAATAACGATATTTTTTCTCACGTAAATAGATAACGAATTTATACGATAGGGTCGCGGACGTGCATACGCCGAAATAACAAATCCTATGTACATTCATATCTTTGGTTGTTTCCATCCTGAGCGGGCCGTTCGCTAGGAAACCCTATCCTATAATAAGTATATCAAATTGGACTGGTAATACAATAATTCGGTTGAGTTCCAAAGGAAAGACTACTCTATGTTTTACAGTAAAACGATCAAATTTACTTTTCAGACTGCATTTGACTTGCGTGTTTATTTCTCGAAATGAAAACTTGCCTGTCGCTCTCCAGTCCACCAACGATAATTTTGCAAATAATACACGATCAATGAGAAATATGTATATGTGTCAGAAATGCAACATTTACCCGGGTATTACGTGTTTCAGTGTGTTAAACTTTTGTATCCAAAACGACTGCAATCAGACGATTTATTTACAAATTGTATTGCTATCCTCCTCATCGAGTCGTGTTCTTCATGTCAAGGGTCGTGACCACCATCACCCATGAGCTTCAATCTTAGGATCTTTTTCCACTTTCCCCTGTCCACGGCGTCATGCAGCGCGCTGTACACTGTACTGTCCAAAGCGGTGCGGATCTGATCGGACCAACGAGTATGCTATAGATACATTGAAATATGTTGGTGAACATTCCTCAGAACGCATCGATACGACCTTCAAGAAACAAAGGCGAGGTTTATAATTTCTATTCTATTTCAAACTGTAAGACTGCGGGATAAGACGATCAGAGTGCTCGTATGTAGCGATGCGACTGTGTCGGTGTTTGAATCCCACAGGCTGGTACCAATTTTTCTAATGAAATACGCACTTAACAAATGTTCCCGATTAACTTCCACTGTGAAGGTATAATATGATGCAATAAAAATTAAACCCGCAGCTTTTATCGTAATTACTGGTGGCAGGACGTCTTGTGAGCCCGCCCGGGTAGGTACCACCACCCTGACTATTTCTTCCGTGAAACACTAAATTAACAAGACAATACAATTCACGCAAAATTCACGTGACGCGTTTTAAACAGAAAAGACAGCTAACTATACAGGGTGTTTCTGACCGTTCCCGAGAATTAATACAGGGTGTATTATTCCGGATCCCGATATTGAACACCGATTTATCGAGTTGTCTAATTCGTTTGTATTATTTAATGAAATTATACTTATAAATGGATATCTGCGTTGAAGAAAATCGTAGACTACGGGAGGCGCAAGGGATAGGCGATGTTAAGGAAGTTTAATTTGATTGTTGGCGGAACGACAGGTAAGTTCTATCGAGCGGGTGTCATTGCTTATTGAACCGTCAGCCCATTGTTTTTTTTTTTATGGCTTAGATGGGTGGACGAGCTCACAGCCCACCTATTGTTTAGGGGTTACTGGAGCCCATAGACATCTACGTAAATGCGCCACCCACCTTGAGACATAAGTTCTAAGGTCTTAGGTATTGTTACAACGGCTGCCCCACCCTTCAAACCGAAACGCATTACTGCTTTACGGCAGAAATAATCAGAGCGGTGATACCTACCCGCGCGGACTCTCAAGAGGTCCTACCACCACTTGAGAAAATACATGAATCCTTATTTGAAATCAACATAAGCACGTCATGTTTTTGCTTTCCTTCTATCCTACAATAGTTAACCACTACATATTCTTATACGTTTTCAATTATTATTATTATAAAAAAAATACGTTCAGAATATTCTTCATATTAATTTTATTTTAATGCTTTTTACTTGAGGAAATTGAATAGTTTGATTATAAATTTTTATTTAGATCAATAGATCGAGAAAGTATATTATTATCTTTTCTAATTACGCGTTAAAAAGTTTCCAGTCCGAAAACAGCCCGCTCTATACTAGCTCACTATACATTTTTATAAGTGAAAATGTCGAGTGACGCTTACGTAAGTCATAATAAGATTTTAATGAACATTATTTAACTTAAAGGATTTTATTTCTTAAAATTTGGTATCGAAAAATATTCACCTTAAATAAACAGGCACGGATATATACATTCTTTTAGCAATTTACCTCGACACATTCACCCAAAAAGACTTCACTAACCGATTTTGAAAAAATAAAAAAAACATTTTAAATATTTTAATATACTTCACATAGGTACCTACACACTTATCGAACACACTATCCTTATAGCACGATGCAGCGAAATCTAACTACATGCCACAGTCGGCATCGAACCGGTAACCTTCGTAATTGACAGACCAACTAACAAGCAGTCTCCGCGTGCACAAATCACATTAACAACTCTACAATACTGGACCAATTTAATAATAGGAAATTTGCTTTATCAACAACGTCATGTGAAATTTGCACTTTACGCTTATGATAAGTTTTAGGTCGATTTTCCTTTGCATACGAAGCAAACTTTACATAATATAATACAATCGAGTATATTTAACTATGTATATACATTTCTTTAAATATAATTTAGTCAAATTTGATTCTTGTTACCGAGTTTTAAGACATACATTCAATTGAAACGATTGGATTGGTTAAATGTTCTGTTTGTATTGTTATGAATCACTTTTTTTTTTAAAGTTGGGCATACAAACCTACCGCCATTCTGATGGAACAAACACTAATATCCGACTTTAGACGCAAAATGTATTTTTTCAAGGGATTTTATGACCTGGTAACTAAGACCTTTAGGTCGCGTCTTATTTAATTTCAATTCTTATATTTATGAAAAATGATAATAAGGAGTGAAATGAAAATGATTAATTTGAGATATCAATCAACTGAGATGAAATTAAATGAAATGAGTTGAAACGATATGGGATGAAACATCAACTCGGTAAAATGGTGGTCATTTACTGAGATTTTTTTAGTAGACTTTTTGGGAGGATCCCGGGAAGAAACATCCATGTTTCATTTTCCCACATTTGTGCACTTTCACAGATATTAAACAGTTAATAAACCACCCTTATTACACATTTAAACTTGAAGATAAGAAGAACTAAATAGACAAAATAAAACAAATCACACAACTTCACTGCTCACGTTCCCGCCAAAAAGTCCAGACGGAAAATGTGACTTGTAAAGAAACACAGGAGAAACGGGGCTTAGTTTAAATAGCATTAAATATTTGGATTCCTTGGTCATTACAGGACGAAGGAGATGGCGCTCATCTGCCATCGACTGGCCAATACTAAGATATCCCATCAGCCAGTTTTTAATGAATCCATTGAACGAATGAAATTTTGGTTCTGAACCTATTACTTAAACCAGTACGTATTGAAATCAGTATGAACGAAGCGACATTTTTGCAACTTCACAGGACATCCATTCAAAGGTTAAAAATTTGGACAAAATGTCATAACAAAAATTTACATCAGCTATTTGGGTAAACAAAAAACAAACAAATAAAAACTAAAATATACATACATATATTATTTATATATTGTGTACTTATATATTTATGTACTTATTTAACGGAAGTATTGCACGGTTAACTAAATGCTGTTACTATGGCCTCGATTTAAAAACTATAAATTATAATCATATCATTACCACATTTGATATTTTGTGAATACAAAAATGTGTCTTGATCCTATACACATAAGAACGTTTATCGCTGGTTATAACGTTTTTTTTTAACTGAACAATATTCTAATGTACTGTTGATATTAATTAGAGGATGAAGGAAGTGGTCTATGACATGAGAATGTGACCCATCTGATTATTATTGGTCACCATAGCTTATAGTCTATGGTACTATAAAAGTGCCTTTAACATATATATGTATATTTAATTCTGTAAAAAATGCTACATCTGCCTCATTATCAAAATGTAAGGCAAGGAATAACCTATGTAACAATCCTTCTAGTACTTTCGACGTAAACACACAACCACTTGACATAATATACAAAGCCGACGTATTGACTTTCGAACTTATATTCCAAACAAACGAACTGCCAAGAACGATCATTGAAATATAGTTCTTATAGCCGACAATCGAAAGTCGCAATTCCAACTAAAACGCGTATTGAGCATTCTTTCCAAAATAATCAAATTAATTACATAATACAATTTCGAATCGGAATTCTAGGTTTTTTTTTTTTTTCTTTGAATTTGTACAGTCCGAGTTGCAGCGGGCGTTTCAATATTTTGTTTTTTTTTTTACATTCACACATTTTGACAGAGTATTCATTTCGGCGGGATGATTATTGTATGTTTTTATTCAATTTGAGCATTGATTTAACAATTGCAGATTGATAATTTCGCTTATTATACGGAATACGGAATAATTAAAAATCTTAAATACACACATAAAAAATTACATACATATTTTTTTTACTATCACTTAAGAACGATATACACAAATCTATTCACATGTAGTATATACTTAGCACAAAGCTGGTCGCATGAGGACCGTCGATATTTTAAATAAATAAAAATAAAATAAAAACGCTGACTCTTATGAACACGCCCGCCGTAACTCGCAACGCAGCTTCACAATACAAATGTAATCCTACTAAATAATGTTGACTAACGTTATGAGTAACTCTTAATACATCTGTTCGGGGAATATCGGCCACTTTAATTTGGCCGGCTCGTATGACGCGACATACACAACGCGGTGAGTATTCCAATCATTAAAATACCTTTCTTTAATTTTCGTGAGACGACTCCGTGAACCTGCAATTTACAAAATTATTATTTTAATTTATTGCCTTAGTTGGCAGACGGCCCAATTGATGATGAGTGGTTACCGTCACCCATGGACATCTACCTCCGAGCCGGTCTGTGTGAACGGACCCTTATCCTATAGGCCGCGACGGCTCCGTATAGTGAATGAAGTAAGACTACTAACCTGGTTCACCTAATAGACGGAGCGTGTAACCTCGGTCCGTAGGATGCCAGCGCGCAGTACGCGGCCAACAGCGCCGAAGGGGTGTGCGGTATGGCCTCGCTGGGGCGCGGGGGGACCGCGGGGGGACCGGGGGACGAGGACGGGGACGCACAGGGGGAGCTCGGCGGAATGGGGGCCAGGATCCGCGAGTGGGCCGCCAGCGCCGACCAGCAGTACAGGTCGGCGGTGTCGTCTGCGGGCGGGCGGAACGGCCTGAACGGGTCGTTGGCGTCCGCGGCCCTCGCCCCCCCGCTCGCAGCCGACAGACTGCAGAACGTCATCGCCTTCCATCCTCCGTATCTGTTACGAAAGTTGCGTTACGATACACGAATGAGATCATATACCATTAAAATTAACACGAAAACCTGAATATGTGGAATTGAAAATTTAACAATTTGAGAACCATCGAAAAAATTATTTCGTAAAATTTGTTATTATTTGTTGGCTACTAGTTTAAACTACTATATAATAATTATTATTATTCTTTCCCTACTAATGGCGTGATCCCCGAGCCACTGGTGCCACCTGGAGAAGTCGCGCGACGTCTCAATTCCATTAGGATAATGAAGACACGGGCCCGTTCAAACCCTAATCCATACTACATACTTAGTAGCTAAGATGGTTTGTAACCATACAGTAACGAAGCCCGTGAACCCGTAATTTCAATACATTAACTTAAATTACTTTTCTCTTTATTTATGAAGTTGTCTGACATAACTATTATATTAAACGCAGTAAACACAATATAACACAGCTACTAATCAATACAGCATCTTAATTACGAGGCAACGGACGATTGCTGGAACACAATACACCACACATGTCAAAACATCTGTGTGCTTAGTGCGAGTTTCTTAACGTTCTTTATAGCGTACAAGTTAAATTTGTATGGAGTTGGAACAGCGCCCCTAGCGGCAAACGTACGTAAACGATCCTATTCCATACAAATATGAGCCAACTTTTACAATATCGAGAAAGTTAAAAACTCGCACTAAGCGCACCGGTCAATGTTCCAATTACAATCGGATTTTAAATTGCAAGGATACTCACTTGTCTACGACGACCACCGGCCCGTTCTTGTACTCCATCTGGCAGCCGGCCACGAACTCCAGCAGCGCGAAGGAGTCCTCGTAGGGCTGCACGAGCCGGTCCAGCGCCTGCTCCCTCTCGCAGTCACTGCTCGCTCTCCTCACGGCCCTGATGTACTCGTTCTCCTCCGGCCTCCCGGTTGTGTACCGCGTCGTGTCGCCCTCCAGCCAACCGCTGCACTGTATAAACTTAACACTGAGCTGGTAGTCGTCTTGTAACGAATGCACGCTCACATTGGTCACTTCGATCACTCTATCCGTCGGCACGCCTTCCGGCACACTGTCCACTTTCTCGAAATAGTAGCACGGTCTCCGCAGTTCCGCTTCCTCCTCGACGGACAGCGCGGGGGCCACGGGGGGCGGCGGGGGCGCCGTGTCCGGGGGGGAGCCGGCCGTCCTGTTGGTCCCCCAGTCGGGAAACTTGAATTTTGTCGGAGAGCTCAATTTGAAGTTCTTGAGGGACATCTTCGAAGGACTTCTCGGCGATTTGGGTCCGTTCTTCTTTTCGGATACGGAGGAGAATAGGTCGCCGTTGGCTATAGACTTGCGGGCGGAGAGGTCTCGGTGTCCGCTCAGTCGCTCCAGGCGTAGATCGGCGCGGTCGAACCTGTGTTATGTCATTACATTTTACTCATTACCGTTTTTGAAGTGAAACTTCCTTATCGGCGTTGGAAAAAAATTTACCGTCACATTTTTCGGTTACGCGTCACATTTTTCCGTTACGCGCCATCTGTTTTGTATTCATGTCTATGATAATAAAATCCTTTTGTTTAAACTTTATCTAATTTAACTTTTTTGTATTCATGTCTATGATAATAAAATCCTTTTGTTTAAACTTTATCTAATTTAACTTTTTTGTATTCATGTCTATGATAATAAAATCCTTTTGTTTAAACTTTATCTAATTTAACTTTATTTAACCAATTTCTAGAAAGTTGCATGTAGATCATTTTTCGAAAAATAAGGCCATAAACAAGTTTCACTTCTTACGTGTGTACACTAGTACACGCACACATTTTTTTTTTTTTAATCGTTGTGTGTGCACTGCTGAGACTTGAATAAATTGTGTGAAAATAACTTTCCCACTATTTCTAGACATAAGCAAATATTCTAAGGGTCCGTCCGGTGCGCACAGACACGTACATGACGTGAGATCGAAGTCTTGATTGTGATTTGTGACGTCTTAAGTCGAGCCGTGAAGGCTCACAATATGCTTATATTTATGAATAGACTAGCGACCCAGCCTCGCTTCACTTCGGAAACATTAAATTTTATTATTGATAGGCGAGTCTCGCCATGTTGCGCGCGGTATGACAATAAATGCGGGCGACGCCGCGGGGCGAAGCTAGTTTAAAAAAAGCAGCCTAAGTTACTCCTTATATCATCAGCTACCTATTAGTGAAAGTCTCATAAAAATCGGTCAAGCCGTTCCAGAGATTAGCCGGAACAAACAGACAGACAGACAGACAAAAATTGTAAAAAATGTTATTTTGGTGTATGTACCGTATATATATTCATATGCATGTAGTAAAAAGCAGTTATTTCAATATTACAAACAGACACACTAATATGTATGTTATTTATATGTATAGATTTCATTGCGCCGATGTTGGCACTAACGTGTGTGTGCGTGTTCAGTGCAAAGTGTACGCACCTGTAGGCGGGCTCGGCGTCGCTGAGCGGGGAGCCGCGCTCGGGGATGAGCCGCTCGTCGTCCGCGCAGTCGCCGGGGTCCCGCCGCCCGCCGCCCTCCGCCTCGCCGTTGGGCGGCGGCGGGCTGTCGGCGGACACCCCCCGCTCCCCCTCCGCCCTCCGTTCCCCCCGTCGCTCCTCCTTCCGGTGCGCGACGAGCGTGTCCTTCGACACGAAACTCGCTCGGAAATTCGCAACGAACAACTCTTTCTCTTCTTCCGTCGGCCAGAACACTTTACATTCCTGCAAATTTTACACAAATATAATATAGTCACTTTTTGCTCAATATGCACGTGGTGTTACGTGGTCAGCGGACCCCATAAATGTCACATGAGAATAGGATCACAATTCGGAACACAATTGGTGGTAAGACCTCTTGTGAGTCCACACAACCACCGCCCTGCCTATTTCTGCGTGAAACAGTAATGCGTTTCGGCTTGAAGGGCGGGGCAGCCGTTGAACTATACTAAGACTGTACAAGTTCGATGTATCGCTCAGGGTACGCGCGCATTCACATCAGCACATTTACATCGCTTTACTCAAACTGTAGTAACTGTATATAAAGCGCCAGTACACGTCCAGCACCTACATACAGCGGTACTCACCACATACATAGATAGAATTAGTTACTTTTAGCCAACTATATAATAAACGCATATTTTTTTACTATCAGTGATTTCTTCGTGTCTAAATATCAAGTTGTGTACGCCACATCAGCAGCGCATACAGAGACCTTAGAACTTATATCTCAAGGTGAGTGGCGCATTTACGTTGTAGATGTCTATGAGCTTCAGTAACCAGTTAACACCAGGTGAGCTGTGAGCTCGTCCTCCCAACTCGTTTCAAAAACCAACATTTTTGAAACGTGTACAATTAAAATAAGAAGTTGGCAACACTCTCTCAGTAGACGCACCGGGTCGGTGGTGTCGGACAGCACTAGCACGAGCTGCGCGGTGTGGTCCCACAGCAGGCGCCACAGCTGGGCCTGGTCCGGCAGGTCGGCGGGCGCGGCGGGGGCGGCGGGCGCGGGGGGCGGGTGCTGCGCCACCGCGTACTCGCGCAGGCGGCGCCGCCCGCACACCCACGACGCGTTCACGTACTCGCTGCCTGTGACGCAACACTCATGGGATGAATTACATATATGTAGCGTGACTGAGTGAGAGAGATAGATGTCGTGTTAGGAGGTAAGAAGGACGGCGAATGAATTTTGAACACTATGGTTTGTACCTAACTCAATACATTGACGCGCCGTGCGTCGTATTTTTTTTATTGCTTAGATGGGCGGACGAGCTCACAGCCCACCTGGTGTTAAGTGATTACTGGAGCCCATACACCTTGAGATATAAGTTCTAAGGTCTCAGTATAGTTACAACGGCTACCTCACTCTTCAAACCGAAATGCATTACTGCTTCACGGTAGAAATAGGCAAGGCGGTGGTACCTACCCGTGTGGACTCACAAAACGTGCTACCACCAGTAATTACGCAAATTATATTTTTGAGACTTAGTAATGAGAGATGAGGCACCTTCGACTCCTGGTTTGGGCAGCAGCAGCACGCGCGCGGCGTCGGCCGGCAGCGCGCCCCGCGGCCGGTTCTTGTGCGCGTTGTGCGGGCCCAGCGCCGCGCCCGCCCCGCCGCCCGCGCCCCCGCACGCGCCGCCGCCCGCGCACGCGCACCCGTGCGTTATCAGCTGCACACACACAAACCGTTTGTACAATTTCTAAATACTGTCGACATGTATANCTGGTTTGGGCAGCAGCAGCACGCGCGCGGCGTCGGCCGGCAGCGCGCCCCGCGGCCGGTTCTTGTGCGCGTTGTGCGGGCCCAGCGCCGCGCCCGCCCCGCCGCCCGCGCCCCCGCACGCGCCGCCGCCCGCGCACGCGCACCCGTGCGTTATCAGCTGCACACACACAAACCGTTTGTACAATTTCTAAATACTGTCTACGTGTATTTAATTCGTTTTAATTAATTTATTTATTTAATCTCCCGCGAGGTATTCGGGGAGGTGGAGGACCTTGGCCCTCCTCGTCCCCCTCTTCCTCTCAGGAGGCGCCGAACTCCGACATAACCCGGTTCGTTACCCGCCCGGACCGGGTATCCGTAAATGGATTCCCCAGCGTTAAAAAAAAAAAAGATGTATTTAATTCGTGTCTCTCAATAGTATGCTCTCATTTGTTTCTTGAACATTTAATGCAAGTAACAAAAACGTTGTTGGTTTTAAAAACAAAAGAAAAAGTGTCCCCAGGCATGAACCGATTCATCCCAAAAGCCGAGGTGGATCAGGTCAAGCTAATTATTTAAGTTTGTGTGCATATTTTTCAATGAACTATGTATGTATAATAATGCATCGTATATGAAAAATTCAACCTCCGGAATCGTTATCTCAATTTTATTGGTATTACCCTGAGAAAAACCCCTGAAAATTTGTGTTGGAATTGGAAAGCGTCCCGATTCCCCCAATCTTTTTTTATTGCTTAGATGGGTGAACGTGCTCACAGCCCACCTGGTACAACGTGGTTACTGGAGCCCATAGACATCTACACCGTAAATGCGCCACCCACTTTGAGACATAAGTTCTAAGGCCTCAAGTATAGTTACAACGGCTGCTCCACCCTTCAAACCGAAACGCGCTACTGCTTCACGGCAGAAATAAGCAGAGTAGTGGCACCTACCCCCGCGGACTCACAAGAGGTCCTACCACCAGTAATCAGTAATCTGCTGTATCGCAGGTTACAACAAAGCGTTGAAACGGAAAGGGCAAGGCACGTAAGACACGTATCGTTGCACTTTTTTTTGTTTCTACCTAAGCTGAGAGCCTTGAGAGGCTATATCAGCGTAACCTTAACTAGTAGGTGAGCTCACGGGGCTCAAACCTGACGGTCGCTGCACGCCGTAGTGTGACGTACCATGAACTGTTTCTCCAGGAGGTTGACAGGCGCGGGGCCCTGGAAGGTATAGTGCCGGTTCGCCAAGGCCCTCATGCGTTCCAGCAGAGCGTAGTTCTCGGCGCGGTTCACCCTGTAACGTACAAACAATATATCATACACAAAATACATACTTTTTTTAAGGGATTTTATGACCTGGTAACTAAGACCTTAAGTCCTAACCTTTAAGTCATGTCTTATTGTAATTTATGTTGTGTGAAGCACTACTCTTGCTAGGGCCAGTGTTAGCAAATTCTCTCAGGTCGAACTAATGAGCTCATCTACCCATCAGGGCATAGCTGGAATAACCCCTTAGGCTTCCTACGATTCGGTAGGAAAAACAATCGTGTCACTAGACTATTATTCTCTGGAAATTAGAAGCTAAATATTGTCTATATCTTAAGAACATACCTTCGAATTTCTTCTTTCTCCTCTTCACACATATTATTGTAGGCTGCCATCTTGTCTCCATAAGTCACCCCGGTTCTGGGCGCCAAATCATACACGCCCTCCCCGTCACCCTCCCGCGTCTCCCTTTCTCCCTCTTTCTCGTCTCCATTGACTATCTCTTTCTCCTCGCTCTCGGACGACGACTTGGGTTCGCTATCCAAGTCAACTGTTCGAACAGATTCCTGACTACCTGTATCGTTATTAGTCTCGTCGATTACGTTGGTCGGCGGCGGTTCATTCTCGACCTTATTCTTGCCGGGATTAAGGTCCAAAACCGCTAGTTCCTCTTCGGTAATGTCTTCGAGTAGCTTGAGTAAATATTGGCGGGTGTTTGAGAACTCGACCTCCGTGTTCCCGCTGCGCACGTGCTCGAGCAGCGCGTCGTGCACGAACACGTACTGCTCCTCCGTCTGCACGAGGTGGTTCCGCTGCGTGCGCGCTCGGCACAGGAAGCCGAGGGGCGACAGGGTTCCCGTCAGCTTCAGCTGGTTGAGCTGCGCGTCCAGTACTATGTACGTGCCGGTCCGACCGACGCCCGCGCTGGAATTTAAATTTAATTTTGGGCTATATTATTAATCCTGACTACGTCGTAAAACCCACTTCGATAAAACAGCACAACACGAGAACCCTCTCATCGTGGCCGCCGGTAACTACATTCCCGATCCTGCGGACAGAATGGAAAGCAGTCGACGTCGCCCCAAACACGTCATTTCGGATCCTCCCGATCCACTAACGGTGCTTTTAGGTACCTCAAGCACCGGTCATCGTTCTCGTCGAACCCGTCGCTTGCGACGAAGGGCTCGTCGAATAAATTAACCTTCAGACACAGCCCACTGAGTTTCTCGCCAGATCTTCTCAGTGGGTCGCGTTTCCGATCCGGTGGTAGACTCTACACTCGCACGACTCTTGCTAAGGTTCGTCTTAGCAACGTCGTCAGGCTTGAGCCCCGTGAGCTCACCTACTAGTTAAGGTTACGCTGATATAGCCTCTCAAGGCTCTCAGCTAGGTAGGAAAAAAAAATGCAATGTTGCTGAGGAGGATATCGAAGAGGAGCGAAGTGGAGGAGCAGAATAGCAGTTAGCTGACCCCACCACCCGAGAGGTAGATATAATGTAATGGAGGGATGGGGAGGTGTATACCTGCAGTGCACGAGCACGGTGCTGGGGTGCGCGGAGGCGGCCCGCACGAAGGGCAGCACGGCGAGCGGGTGGCGCGGGGTGCCGTGGTCGGGCCACACCGTGTAGTGGTACTGCACCACGGCGCGCTCCGCCCCCCCGCCGCCCGGGGTGGACGGCTCGCTGTCCTGCACACGCACCACACACACGCGCTCTTAAACGCACACACTCGTAGCAGCCAGTTTACCCATTTAACGGGTAAAGCAATTAAATAAATAATAGTTAAAAAAACTAACAAAATACGCTTTTATAGAAAATCCAACTAAAAAATAGAAAATAAATTTTAATAAATTTGAAAAATGATTTTATTGTAAAAAAAAAGCGTAGCGTGCTTTTCGGGATATTATCAAAATAACCTTTCTACTCATAACTGTTCATAAAATATTTATAACTACTGATAACATGCACCCCACGCTTTTTTTACAATAAAAAATGTTTTTCTTACACTACTTTTAATTCAAATTTATTAAAATTTATTTTCAGTTTTTAGTTGAATTTTCTATAAAAGCGTATTTTGTTAATTTTTTTAAGCTATTATTTATTTTTCATTTTTAAATTGAATTTCAATTATTTTATTTTTATTATTTTTTAATTACGTATTGTCGTCGGTCCTTAATAAGTATACCAAATTTCGAGTTAATCCGACGTTTTGAAGGGGGTCAAAATCATGTTCAAAGATTCTGTTACATACTAGCATACGTCTAAAGCTAATAAAAGCGTATTAAAAAGAGACTTCGACACAGTGGATGGTAATTTTTTATTTATTTATTCCGGAGGTAGATTTAGGATCAACAGGTTGACGAACAATGTTTCTACTGAATTTAACTTCCACATCGGAAGTCTGTACCGACACATCTAGAGATGTCAATCGTACACTAGTGTAGGGGCAATTATAATCGACACATCGAGTTATCGATTTACGAATGTTATTTTTCAATTGCAGCTTCTGATAGCTGTTACGAATATGCAGTCAAAAATCTTTGTAACAATTTGTAACAACCATAGATAATACTCATAAATTATTTATAGATAAGCAACTCAAGTACTCAACAAAAATGTTTACGGACGTCGGCCACTAGATGGCTTCGCTTCGATTAATCTGTCATTGCTCCTGTAGATGGCAATAACATATTACCTATCCTATATTTATTTGTGTGTATATGATCTTGCCTGATTGCTGTTGCGCTATTTTCTCCGGCAGCTGCGTTTTGTGTTATAACGACTTCTTTTTCTTCTTGTTTTGAGTACGATTTTCCTATTTTATTTCGTTATATAGCGAACGGATATTACTGTGCGCGTGTGTATAACGTGCACGACTGGCTAGGGTCCGCGGGATCACACTGCAGGGGGGTTGGGGGGGCGGTACTCACGGGCACGCGCACGCTCATGTGTCGCACGGTGTAGGCGGCGCGCACGTCCTCGTGCAGCAGCGTGACGCGCACGGGCCCGAACTGCGCCGCACTGCCGCGCCCGCCCGCCGGCCAGTACATGTCGCACTTGCGCTGCGGACACAACCCACCCTCAGCACTCTAGTGGCGACCACATCGCTCTTTGGCCCAGTCATCGTTCTCGTCGAACCCGTCGCTTGCGACAAGGGGCTCAACGAGTAAATTAACCCACAGACACAGCCCACTGAGTTTCTCGCTGGATCTTCTCAGTGGGTCGCGTTTCCGATCTGGTGGTAGATTCTGCGAAGTACTGCTCTTACTAGGGCCTTGTTAGCAACGTCGTCAGGTTTGAGCCCCGTGAACTCATCTATTAGTTAAGGTTACGCTGATATAGCCTCTCAAGGCTCTCAGCTTAGGTAGGAAAAAAAAAGCAAGCTCTTTGGATATCGTCCACTTTTGTTTTTATTGGTTAGATCTGTGGACGAGCTCACAGCCCACCTGGTGTTAAGTAGTTAATAGAAGCCCATAGACATCTAAGACGTAAATAAACCACCCACATTGAGATATAAGTTCTAAGGTCTCAAGTATAGTTGCAACAAAACAAAAGAGGCAATGTAATCCAAAAAAAAGAATATAAATTTTAAGGTACTGGACTCAAATTTCGATCATAGAACGAAAGTTTTAAAAGTCTGGTGCTAGGGCACACTACCACCATCCTATAAATTGCAGCCTCGTTACTGTTTGAAGGTTGAGGCAGTCATCACACAGCACAATGGAGAATTTGACCTCACGTCTCAAGCGACGAGTGTGATGGTAGGTGGTAGGACCACTTGCAAGTCCGCACGGGTGGGTACCACCACCCCGCCTATTTCTGCCGTGAAGCAGTAATGCGTTTCGGTTTGAAGAGTGGGGTAGCCGTTGTAACTTTACTGAGACCTTAGAACTTATATCTCAAGGTGGGTGGCGCATGTACGTTGTAGATGTCTATGGGCTCCGGTAGCCACTTAACACCAAGTAGACTGTGAACTCGTCCGCCCAACTAAACAATAAAAAAATAGATAAATAAAAAAAATTATGCTGTAACCAACTAGCCTAGCAAATACATTTATTAAAATCTGAACATCCTATCAGTCACTAGTTAAAATTAAATAAACAAAAACATCGACTCACCCGCCCCCTTTCAACCAAGTTGGTGATCATGACCAGCGTGTGCACCCGGTGTTGCCAGATCATTCTCCAGAAGGCGTCGAGTGTTGCCGGCGTGGGGCCCTGCGTCGCGATGTAACGACGCTTCCACAGCGCCCATTCTAGCTTTATCCGGGTGCGCACGCCATCTTGAAAAATAATTAAGTTCTGATAGAAAACAAATTTTCAAAACAATCGTTTTTTTAACACTGGCAATAATGAATTCTAAAATCACTAACAGACTTTTTGGCGGGAACGCGAGGAGTGAAGTTGTGTGATTTGTTTTATTTTGTCTATTTAGTGTTTCTTCGGGTTTAAATGTGTAATAATGGTAGTTTATTAACTGTTTAATATCTGTGAAAGTGAACAAATGTGGGAAAATGAAACAAAGCCGCTGGACGTAACTTCTCGGGACCCTTCAAAAAGTGCACTGAAAAAATCTTAGTAAATGACCACCATTTTACGGAGATTATATTTCATCCCATATCATCACATTTCATTTCATATAATTTCATCCCAGTTGATTAATGTCTCAAATTAATCATCTTCATTTCATTTCACTCCATAATATCATTTTTCATAAAAATATGAATATAAATTAAAATAAGACATGACTTAAAGGTCTCAGTTGCCAGGTCATAAAATCCCTTAAAAAAAAATCACTAACACCTATAGTATGTATCTACTGCTGCGTTACATTTACAAAATTGTACAAAAATATTAAATTTACTATAATAAAGAATTATATTTAAAACACTATTATCTTTCACTCGTGTAGACACAGTTTAACAATCCTTAGAGTCGAGAGACACCCTTGATGTAGTACGCCGCTCGTGTGGTTAAACTCGATAATATTCCGAATTAGCAAGGCCGCGATTTAACTGCGGATTGTAGAACTGTTTGAAGTCGTCGTGGCCTAAAGGATAAGACGTCCGGTGCGTTCGTGTTGAGCGATGCACCGGTGTTCGAATCCCGCAGACGGGTACCACTAATTCCGCAAAATTCTAATTTGCGGAATTAGTGGTGATAGAACCTCTTGGGAGTCCGCGCGGATAGGTACCACCACCCTGCTTATTTCTGTATTGAAGCAATAATACATTTCGGTTTGAAGGGTAGGGCAGCCGTTGTACTGAGACCTTAGAACTTATATCTCATGGTGGGTGACGCATTTACGTCGTAGATATCTATGGGCTCCAGTAACCACTTCACACCAGGTGGGCTGTGAGCTCGTCTACCCATCTAAGCAATAACAAACAGTGCTAATACTGACCGATGTCAACATACACGTCGTCCAGCTCGGAGTCGTCGCTCCTGTCGCTGTCGTAGTCCTCTCTGTCCTCCGACTCCACGATGCCGCTGAACTCTATGTTGAGGAACGCCGACTCTATGCCCTCCGCTAGCAGGGGAGGCGGCTTCGATTGTTTTATTGACGGCGGCCTGGGCGGGAACAACGGTTACAACAGAAGCAATCAACTTTTTTTTTTTATCGCTTAGACGGCTGGACGATCTCACAGCCCACCTGGTGTTAAGTGGTTACTGGAGCCCATAGACATCCGCAACGTAAATGCGCCACCCACCTTGAGATATAAGTTCTAAGGTCTCAAGTATAGTTACAACAGCTGCCCCACCCTTCAAACGGAAACGCATGACTGCTTCACGGCAGAAATAGGCAGGGTGGAGGTACCCACCCGCGCGGACTCACAAGAGTTCCTACCACCAGTACAAACAACTTTAAGATTTATAATAAATACGAGTTTCTAGTTAAGATTTTGTTTTTCTCTTGTTTGTGAGAATTGATTCAATATAGTAGATTCATATAATATTAAATAAAAGTATATATATATTTGTATAATGTATTATAATTTAAGTAAGTGTGTGTGTGTGTATTTGTGTGTATATATATTGTTTTGTATTTTGTAATATGTATATAATATTATATGTAATGTTTACTGTATGCACTAGGTTTGTGTTCCTAATTCTTCTCTCCTTTTGCGGGTCTACTGGAAGAGATTTCAACGTGAAATAAGTAGTGCCCTTGTACTCTGTATCCTTATTGTCGTGTTTCTTCGAACAACTGTGTGTGCAAAATATATTAAATAAATAAATATAGATTAAATTTTCAAAATTTTATTAACTAATTTATCAGTAAATGTATCTCTTACCGATCAGGTTTATCTCTCTTCCTGAGTTTAGCTTTGATCCTGGCGAGGTGGTCGGCCCCCAGCTGCGGCAGCACGCCGTCGATGAAGTTGGCGTTGACGTAGTCGCAGGGCGCGCCCGCACCGCCGCCCCCCGCGCACCCCGCCGCGCCGCACCGCCCCCCCTCCGACACGCACACGCGGGAGTGGTCGTCTGTGTACACGCAGCGACACACCATTACAAACGTCGCGCAGACTGACCCAAACTGTCCACCTTCCATGAGCCAATTTTTTTAATTATTTTTTTAATGCTTAAATGGGTGGACGAGCTCACAGCCCACCTGGTGTTAAGTGGTTACTGGAACCCATAGACATCCACAACGTAAATGCGCCACCCACCTTGAAATATAAGTTCTAAGGTCTCAAGTATAGTTACAACGGCTGCCCCGCCCTTCAAACCGAAACGCATTACTGCTTCACGGCAGAAATAGGCAGGCCGGTGGTACCTACCCGCGCGAACTCACAAGAGGTCCTACCACCAGTAAAACCAAAGAAAGTCAGTACCAACCCGAGCACATTCAACATCCATTGAGTGAGCAAATAGGGGAGCTTCGAAGACTACCCATTGTGTGAAGTGTTATGCACTGGTCGAACAGTAAAGACGACAGTAAAGCTGCGTACTCACAGGCAGTGATGTTTAAGTACCGGTTCTTCAGCCGGTTCTCTGGGCGGTGGCTGTGGTGGCTGGTGTGCCCTAACGCGTTCGATCTCGATACAACGATTTCGTATTCTTTACTGCAAGAATTCATTACATTACTAAATTATTTATTATCATAATGAACAATAAAAAGTATGTATCTATACTAATATTATAAAAAGGAAAGATCTGTTTGTTTATTTGTATTGAATAGGCTCCAAAACTTCTGAACCAATTTAAAAAAATCTTTCACTGTTTGGAAGCTACACTATTCCCGAGTGACAGGCTATAATCTTTTTTGAAAAAAATCACCCAAGGTGTAAAAAATTACCTAAAATATTCTTTACATCGCGTGCCCTGTGAAAACTTGATGATAGAATAAAATAACGTAATAAGATTTTGTAGAACACATTAATATGTACAAAAAATGTCGCGACAGCATATATCTAACTATTATAGTTATGCCACAATAAGAGTTCTTTTATTTAAAAAAATAAGACAACGTCAAATATCGTTGAAATTTTTGTTAAAGACCCGAGCGGAGCCGGAGCGAGCCGCTTGTATGTTATATTTTTCAATTAAACGGAATAAGTGACTATCACCACGAAACAGTAAGCACAGTTTTCTGAAACGATAAATTTTTGTTGTTAATTACTAAGTAAATCTCATTAATCTACTAATCAGTGATTTTCCACTACAAGATCTGAGTTAGGTTTCCGGTCGGCTCCAATATTATTATTTATACATCCCAAACATCCATTGTAATTTCCGTAATAAAATTGATGATTGACCTACCTAAATCCAATATCTCCGTCGGCATGCAGCGCGGCGACGTGTCTCGGGAAGGCGGTGGCGGAGAGCGCGGGGTGGTGGGTGCCGGCGATGCGGGGGGGCGGACCCCCGCGGCCCCCCGCCGACCCCCCGTCCGCCGCCGCACAGCCGCCCGACCCCGGCGCCATGCCTATACCTACTGACAAACAAATATACGTTAATGACATGGTTGTTTTTTATGATTGAAGGATTATTGGTGGTCCGGCGGTCTTTCCAGTTTCACCAGGACAGGTGGGCGAGCAATGGCTCAGCCAGGAGGGGTGGGATTTGCTAACAGCTGCCCGAGCGCCTCCGAAGGAGACTTAACAGCTCAAGAGCAGCTGCTTCGCGAATGAATCTACCACCGGATCGGAATCGCGACCCGCTGAGAAGATCCGGCGAGAAACTCAGCGGGCTGATGCGTGGGTTAGGTTGCACGTCGACCTCTTTGTCGAGTTCGACGAGTACGGTTACCGGGGTCCCTAAGCCTGCTCCTAGTGTTAGAGCTGAAGGCGTCAGACATAGCTCGTTAATAGCTCTTCACAAATATAAATCGATATAGCTTTGACTGTTTGATCAGATCACGAATTGATTAAGAAAATGCGGTCACTTCACACAAAAAAGGGGGGGGGGGATCGCACTTATTGGTATTAGTAGCGATCAATCATGATGATCGCCTCTTTATTATTTAAATGTCACTTATACAAAATGTTAAAAAGGAAACATTGTTACCGGGCTTCTTGTAGGAGTTCAGTGGGGCTCTCGCACCCCTCTCCCCTCCCTCCTCCAAGTAATTGTACGCCGCACTTATGCACTTACTCAGACGAGACCTACATCTGTAAGAAATAGAGGTAAGAATATTAATATCAAGTTTTAAGCCGGCTTGGCAGTGGATCCATTCATAAAACAGTATATACCATCACTTGAATGCGCAAACTATTATTAAAATCACAGCTCCGATATCGATACCGACATATCGATATGGTATCGTTTATTCTAAATAATACGCGTACAATTAACTTTAGGTCTCGTATACAAAACAATTCAATGAACACGTAACCCATTCAGAAACAGAAGTTACAGTCGTGTTAATGCTAGACAGAGACCGCATTATATGTGATGACGTCAGTGTTTTACTTCGCATGACTTTAGCTTGTGAGTAAAGGCAACGTAAACTCACCTACAGTAAACCAACGCCAGGCCGACAGCGGCGAGTAGCGCCAGAGGCAGTATGGCCAGCAAGGCCTTGGTCTTGGCATCCCCCTGCGGCGCGTCCCCCACTTCCGCACCCGCCCCCGCTGCCCCCACCGCCCCCTGCTCCCCGCCGCGCTCCACACACGACTCGCTCGACACCTCCTGAGAGGAATGACAATATTATTTCTCTAGGATTGTCATTTCACACCGCATTGTACTTGTTTTTTTTAAGGGATTTTATGACCTCGTAACTAAGACCTTTAGGTCAAGTCTTATTTTAATTTATATTCTTATTTTTATGAAAAATGATATTATTAAATGAAATAAATATCTCAGTAAAATAGTGGCATTTACTGAGACTTTTTCAGTGGACTTTTTGGAGGATCCCGAGAAGTTACATTTAGGGGCTTTGTTTGATTTTCCCACATTAGTGTACTTTCACAGATATTAAACAGTTAACAAACCACCGTTATTACACATTTAAACCTGAAGAAACACCAAATAGACAAAATAAAACAAATCACACAACTTCACTCCTCGCGTTCCCGCCAAAAGGTCCCACTGTACTTGAAATATTATAATTTTGAATACCGTCATTTTAGAATTAACTAGCGACCCGCCCTCGCTTCGCTTCGGAAACTGTAATTTATTATTGATTTCTCCACTATTTAATGGATGTTATTATACATATCCGCATCAAAATCCGTTGCGTAGTTTTAAAGGTTTAAGCATACATAGGGATATAGGGACAGAGAAAGCGACTTTGTTTTATACTATGTAGTGAAACTAAACTTTCGTCCATAGTTGACAAGAAGGATATCCAAATCGCACCGCTCTGGGTGCTAAAGTTACACGTACCTGAGCGGCCGAAGGTTTCCCCATCACAAGCGAGCCTTCCTTAGCAATAGAAAACGTGACAGCATACAGGATCACTTCGTAGCGAGTATTGTTCCAGAGCTCAACCGGCTGTGAAAAAATAAAAATATTCAGAAATTATTTAGAAGGACTGTTATACATAAACGGAAAAATGTTTTTTTTTATGCATCCTATGAATTCGTGGGGTCGTTGACCTAACGCGTCATCTATTCACGTTACATTGCGTGGCGCTTACAAAACATAAATCTCTTGTTACGCTGTGAACATCACCAGCCTCTCCGAGACACGAGTACCAGATTCATTCGCGAAGCGGCTGTTCTTGAGTTGTTAGGTCTTTTTCGGAGGCGCTCGGGCAGCTGTTAGCAAATCTTACCCCTCATGGCTGAGCCATAACTCGCCCACCTATCCTGATGAAACGCGAAAGGCCTCCGAATCCCTCATTCATAAACAAAAAGACACAAGTACTGTTGTATCTCAGTCTAATATACTTACGACGCTAAAAAAAGTTTCCAAATCATCCTTGCTGGTCGGAAACGTGACCGTCTTCCTCGGGTGGTGTTCCGGGATCTTCCTCAAGGTCACTACGTATTGGTTGAGCGTGTTGTTGAAGTAAAGGGGCTGTCGCCATTGTATGTAGAGTGACCCTGTTTTGTTTTTGAATAAAAATTGTTAGTTAACAAACCATAATGTTATAACACATCCTATATATCGAGGGGTGAAAGGCTATTTGGTTTAAGCGACATTTTGCTTAATACGCGACATTTATCTTTGTAATTATTAAAGGTGCATTTTATTTGATACTAGCTGACCCGGCAGACTTCGTAGTGCCTCAATCGATAAATAAAAGACCTGAGCTTTTATATAAAATAAACTTAAATCAAAACAAAAAGAATCCGTCCGACGGGGGACACATCAAAGGAAAAACAAAATTGTTATTTTTATCTACCTTTTAACTTCTCTGGACTTCCACAAATAATTCAAGACCAAAATTAGCCAAATCGGTCCAGCCGTTCTCGAGTTTTAGCGAGACTAACGAACAGCAATTCATTTTTATATATATAGATATAGATTAGCAAAACGGTTAGGGTTTTTAATTGAACTTCAATTAGGTTTATTCCATTCAAATAGCCGAAGAAGTTTTTTCGTTATGTTTTTTTTTTTCCAAATTTTCAACTTCAAATGGCTCTCCTGTATGTAATGTTGCAAAAATGTTGCTTAAACCAAATATTCTTTCACCCCTCAATATACATAGGTAAAGATGAATATTATCATTCTCTGTTGTTGTTGTTACGTGAATTTTGTAACACAAAACAGGAAGAGACCTTGAAGTTATTCTACTACAGCGCAGAAAAAATACTTCAAAAAAACTATCCTTTTGCCAACTAGAAATGATTTTTTACATTGATTTACACATAAAACTATTTTAACGTTTAAAAAAGTTATAACTAGAATTCACCATAAAAAAGTTATAAATACAATTCAGGAGATGTATGGAAATGGTAGTGCAAGGTAGAGGGGGAAGAGGTCGACCGAAGAAGACATGGATGGAGTGTGTGAATGACGATATGAGAGAGAGAGGAGTGAGTGTTGAGATGACGGCTGATAGAAGAGAATGGAAGAGAAAAATTAGCTGTGCCGACCCCACATAGTGGGATAAGGTGAAGAAAAAGAAGAGAACTAGAATTCACCGCATAGATTATACGCACCAAATAATCATTCACTTTTTTAATGTAAACCAGAGCCTATCTTGAGATACGAGGTCCAAATAAGCAGAATAACATTACAAACTCGTGTGGGTCCGTGGGGGCTCTGAATCCTACGACCTACCACCACCAACCAGTAAATTAAGATCCTCATGCCTCATTAACCCATCCAATGTGCAACTAGCATTTTTTATTGAACAATAGTACATTGTGCACCGCGGGAGAAAAGTAGGACATTTCCTCTCGCATGTAAAATTGCCAAATGGCAAACACGCGGGATGAGATGTCCTACTGTTCTCCCGCGGTGCACATACTGTTTTTTCTCCTACCAGGCCAGGCGTTTTGAAGTCGTCGTGGCCTAAAGGATAAGACGTCCGGTGCATTCGTATATAGCGATGCAACGGTGTTCGAATCCCGCAGGCGGGTACCAATTTTTCTAATGAAATACGTACTTAACAATTGTTCACGATTGACTTCCACGGTGAAGGAATAACATCGTGTAATAAAAATCAAACCCGCAAAATTATAATTTGCGTAATTACTGGTGGTAGGACCTCTTGTGAGTCCGCACGGGTGGGTACCACCGCCCCACCTATTTCTGCCGTGAAGCAGTAATGCGTTTCGGTTTGAAGGGTGGGGCAGCCGTTGTAACTATACTGAGACCTTAGAACTTATATCTCAGGGTGTGTGGCGCATTTACGTTGTAGATGTCTATGGGTTCCAGTAACTACTTAACACCAGGTGGGCTGTGAGCTCGTCCACACATCTAGGCAATAAAAATAAAAAACAAGGCGTGGAGTACCGAGCCGGGGTCCGATCAATTTTACACGCGGGAGGAAATGTCCTAATTTTTTCCCTTGGTGCACAATGAACTATAGTACCAATCTACATGGGTGGAAACATTACAAACGTTATACCTTTATCCATATCGCAGGACAACTTCAAGATGATGGGTTCGGACGGAGGCTCCACGTCGGTCATGACGTACAACGGCTTCGATCTTGGGCTGAGGTGCGTCGACAAATCCGGGACCGTGAGGTACGGCGACGTGTTGTAGAAGGCACGGACCCAAATCTTGTACGCTGTGAACGGCTCTGAGGATTGCGACAAAATCAAACGAAAACACTATTAGTTAATACACCATGTATTTCTTTCTCTTTTTCCCTACCTAAGCCTTGAGAGGCTATGCCAGCGTAACCGAGCAAGTAGGTGAGCTCACGGGGCTCAAACCTGACGACGCTGCTAACTATAGCAAGAGCAATGCATCACAGAATCTACCATCGGATCCTTTTTTTTCCTACCTAGCTCAGAGCCTTGAGAGATTTCAGCGTAACTTTAACTAGCAGGCGAGCTCACGGTGCTCAAACCTGACGACGCTGCTAACACGAACCCTAGCAAGAGCAGTGCTTAGCAGAATCTACCGCCGGATCGGAAACGCGACCCACTGAGAAGATCCGTCGACAAACTCAGTGGGCTGTGTCTGGGGATTAAGTTTTTTCTCTAATAATAATAATTTAACATAATAATTTTTACTGGTGGTAGGACCTCTTGTGAGTCCGCACGGGTAGGTACCACTACCCCGCCTATTTCGGCCGTGATGCAGTAATGTGTTTAGGCTTGAAGGGCGTTGCTATTGTAACTGCACCTTAGAACTTACATCTCAAGGTGGGTGGCGCATTTACGTTGTTAATGTCTATGGGCTCCTTAACACCAGGTGGGCTGTGAACTCGTCCACCCATGTAAGCAATAAAAAGAAAAGAAAAACTACGATTGCGTACATCGAGAGCCAGAACGGTCCACCAAATTCATACGCGAAGCAATTGCTCTTGAGTTGTTAGGTCTCCTTCGGAGGCGCTCGGGCAGCTGTTAGCAAATCCCACCCCTCCTGGCTGAACCTTTGCTCGCCCACCTGTCCTGGTGAAGTCCTGGTGAAGGCCTGGGGAAAGGCCTTCGGGACACCAGTAATCTCTCAATCATAAAAAAAAAGGTCCACCAAACGCACGATCAGTATAAACGAGTAGCAATCGTAATCCCTTATGTACACGCAATAAATTGATGCTACAATTAATGGGTCTCATTAGGCCGAAATTCATTACCCAGACATCGCCTGCGTCCCGCCACCCGCAGCGACTTAGCGCGATAGCTCATTCACTCGACCTGACCGTGTCATTGGGGACGACAATAAAATAAAACTACTGATGAAGTGTCACTTTAAACAGTTGAAAGATCGCGCGAGACTGCTGACCCGCATAATTCGAATGTGACTTGTTAGAGTGTGAGCACTCGTAACGATCAGTTAGGGTGACGGGATTCTGTTTGTTGGATACATATGTTTTTTTTACCGAATCTACCGCAAAGCAAGTCCACATCCAACCAATACTTGGAAACCGAGAGCAGCACAGAACAGTCATCATCATCATCATTCTTTCCTATTACCCTCTGCTGGGGTGTAGGGCTCGAATCAAATTTTTCCATTTAGATCGGTCTTGGGCAGTCTGTTCTAGCTCCTCCCACGTCATGCCCAGTAATCACCCTAAAGCAATTACCACTTCAACGGCATTTTTTTTATTGCTTAGATGCGTCGACGAGCTCACAGCCCACCTGATGTTAAGTGGTTACTGGAACCCATAGACATCTACGACGTAAATGCGCCACACACCTTGAGATATAAGTTCTAAGGTCTCAAGTATAGTTACAACGGCTGCCCCACCCTTCAAACCAAAACGCATTACTGCTGTAGTGTAGATAATATGCAATGTTGCACATTGCAATCTGACGTGTATGTATGTGCGATGTCGGGCGACGCTCCTGCGAGGGCAGTCGTTCGCCTACCGCCAGCTAAGCAAGGTGTGCAGTAAATGTCTAATATATCATCAGTATTTTATTGAAGAACCCAACCAAATGTTACTAAACTGGTGACCCCGACGTGATCTGAACACGCAACCTTCTGTTTTTTTTTTTTTTAGAAGGGTGGGTATGTCACGGAAAAAATAGGCAGGGTGGTTGTACCTACCCGTGCGGACTCACAAGAGGTCCTACCACCTGTTATTTCTCAGGCGTATCTCAAGGTGGCCACACTGCGGTATCTACAAACTGTAGTCTTTACCCAAAGCAAATGTTGTAATTCAGTAACACCAATAAAGATACTCACTCAAATGCTTCAAGTTGAAAGCGACTACTTTGGCCGCTATCCCGGATTTATTCCACAGCGTCAGGTTCCTCGTGTGCTTCGTACTGTCTTCCATCATAAGATCGCTCAAGAACACGTTGTTCTTTCGGACGTCTGCCGATTTCTGGACACCGCTTGCATTGAAGTCGTAATTCTGAACGCCTTCCTCGTAATAAAGTATATACGCGATTTGTGTCATGTCCTTGTGCGGTTTCGGATGGACCGTTTTCTTAACGACTTCTATTGGTTCGTCGTTTTGCAGATTGACCTCAAAGTATTCGTACTGCTCCAGCTGTGGTGCCTTCGATTCGGTCACGTTATCATGAGAGCGTTTTTTGTGTCGATGCGACCAAAGATCCCTCTTGGTCTTATAAGAGTCCATTAATATACCGGAATTTGAATAATCATCGTTTTTATCGTTTCTGTACATATCGTAGGGGTACTCTAGCTCTTTGAGTCTCTCTGAAGCTACGGATTCGGGAGCAGGATTGATGACGTCATTGGTCGGCCCGTCGTTTTGTGACCGAACCTTCTGAGGTGAAACAGGATCGGATTCGGTTGTGTCTTCTCGTATCGGCACCGGATGGACTGTGAAAGTTGAAGGCGGGGTCCATAGAAGATGTATCTCTTTCGAAGTCACATTATCTGCTGTCAAGTTCTGAGGAGCGGACGGAACTGTGAACAATTAATTTCAATGGCATAAATACAATAGCATCAACATAATCACGATCTACAATCAAATCGTGCATTATAATCATTCACTAATAATAAATAGATAGATTGAAATTGTATGCTTTAAAGATTAGGTCGGTTAGAATTTACGTACGAATACATATTTATAAAGATAAACAAATATTCGGTTTGATTCTTGTTGTTTTTTTTTTTAAATCAAGGATTAAGATCTCGAAATCATTTTGAGTTGTTTTTTTTTCTTTCTTTTATGATTGAAGGATTAATGGTGGTCCGGAAGCCTTTCCAGTTTCACCAGGACAGGTGGGAGATCACGGGCTCAGTCAAGAGGGGCGGGAGAAGTAATAACTGGCCGAGCGCTTCCAAAGGAGGCCTAACAACTCAAGGGCAACTGCTTCGCAAATCTGAATCTACTACCAGATCGGAATCGCGACCCGCTGAGAAGATCCAGCGAGAAACTCAGCGGGCTTTTTCATGAAGACTACAATATTATAGAAAAGCTATTAAGTAGTGTAGAGTCCGACAGATGAGACGTTGTGACTTAATGCTAATGACCACCTCCTACCGTACGTTGATGGCACTATGCCAGGAACCTTCCATGAAGAGCCAATAACATCTGTGCGGAGTTTCCACTCAATACGACGCGTGAACGAAAAGAACAAACGCTCATTTTTTATATATACCCTAACCGACACGATACGTCTTTTTCTCCTATTAATCACTCCCCTTATTCCCCCATTGATGCTGCTTGCTACCTTCAGCCTCAGTAAATGTATTCACACCTTATTCCCTTATCTAGCTTTTCCGCACTTACAGCATTTGGTAGGGTATTTAACGAGATCTTTTTTATTTTATTGCATAGATGGGCGGACGAACTCACAGCACAACTGGTGTTAAATGGTTACCGGAGCCCATAGACATCTACAACGTAAATGCCGCCACCCATCATAAGATATGAGTTCCAAGATCTCAGTATAGTTACAACGGCTGCCCCAACCTTCATACCGAAACGCATTGCTGCTTCACGACAGAAATAGGCAGGGTGGTGGTATCTACCTGTGCGGACCCACAAGAGATCCTACCACCAGTAAAACTATTTTGTATCGCTGTATTACTATTATTTCGATGAAAAATTTCAGCAAGAGGGCAATAATACAATCAAGATTTCTGTGTCTTAAGATGAGTTCTGAACTCCACGGGCTCCATTAATCATTAACATTACCACATACTCGATAATTTTCTGTCCATTTATAATTAAAACAAAACAAACTTATGTACTTTTCTTCTCAACAGCCGCAATCTATCTTTTATCTATATATATAAAAATGAATTGCTGTTCGTTAGTCTCGCTAAAACTCGAGAACCGATTTGGCTAATTTTGATCTTGAATTATTTGTAGAGAAGGTTTAAAAGGTAGATAAATATGAAAATGTTAGGAATTAAATAAAAATAACACAATTTTGTTTTCCTTTTTATGTGTCTCCCGTCGGGCGGATTCTTTTTGATTGTTTTAAGTTCATTTTAGGTCTTTTATTTATCTATTGAGGCACTACGAAGTCTCCCGGGTCACCTATTAAAAGTTGACATGACTAGCGTCGTCCACTTATAGACATAAGGTCAAAGTTCCTATCGCATTGGAATATCCGGCTATCTTACATTACCCTCCGAACGGGAACGCGCGATCGCCTCGCTCCATTAACAGGCCAAGCGCTACATCGACATTCGACGCTCTTACAAAACGTGGCGTGATGTTAAACAAATTACCGGACGGATAATTAAAACGAGTCAATTAAAAACGTTATGGTGCTGTACCGAACAATGGAGAGTTAATGGGGTCAGTGCCTTGGCCGACGTCACAATGGTGGTTGCCGTTCGATTTTTCGGATTACCCCGATCGAAGGAAGTCTAAGAATTTCAATAGTGACATATTACAAAAGTCTCGGTCGCGGAGTTTGTTAATTGATGAGATTAAGTAATGTAACGTCGCGGTTTTTTTTTTTTTATAACAGCTAAGAGGCAAACGAGCAAGACGGGTCACCTGATGGTAAGTGATTCACCGCCGCCCACGGTCACCAGCGACGCCAGTGCGTTGCCTACCCTTCAAGTAATAAAGAGAAGTTTAGAAAAGAATCCTGTCCAGTGCTTAGTGCGAGTTTTTAACGTTCTCGATAGCGTGAAAGTTAACTCAATTTTGTATAAACTTGGAACAGCGCCTCTAGTGGCAAACGTAGGCAAACGTTCCGACTCCATACAAATTTTAAGTTAACTTTTACGTTGTCGACAACCCTCAGACACAGCCCACTGAGTCTCTCGCCGGATCTTCTCAGTGGGTCACGTTGCCGATTCGATGGTAGATTCTGCGAAGCACGACTCTTGCTAGGGTTCGTGTTAGCAACGTCGTCAGGTTTGAGCCCCGTGAGCTCACCTACTAGTTGAGGTTACGCTGAAATAGCCTCTCAAGGCTCTCAAATTAGGTAGGAAAAAAAACGCTGTCGAGAACATCAAAACACTCGCACTAAGCACACAGGTACAAGGACACGCTGCGAGCTTATATGGCTGTGGGTTTTCAACAAATACGATTCACCCGATCCGAATGAAATCTCCAAAATGATCTCCCGATTGAGGAAGCTGCATTAACGCCTTAGTACCTATCGGGTAACCGCTCGACCAAAGATATAGTTGACGTCAATCAATGCGATCAATGCATCATTAAGGATAACGAAACAACTACTCGTCAGATATAAATAATATAAATAGTACCACAAGAGAACCATCAGCTTTAAAAAAAATCATCATTAAAATCGGTTCACCTATGAAAATTTCTAAAGCAACACAGATAAAAACAAAATCGAACTGAGAATCTCCTCTTCCTTTTTTGAAGTCGGTTAAAATGTGGCTCTGTGAAACAAACTATACTTGAGTAACTATACTTAAGAACTTAGAACCTATATCTCAAGGTGAGTGGCGCATTTACGTTGTAGATGTCTATGGGCTCCAGTAACCACTTTACCCCAGGTGGGCTGTGAGCTCGTCCAACCATCTAAGCAATAAAATAAAACAAGTAATGTAAACATTAACATGCTGTCTAATGACGTCAGCAGAATGTATAGTGTGATACAAAAGCAAGCCTCAAGGTACGTCACTTCCGGAAAAATGAAAACAGAGTGGAATATTGTCCGGTCTGGACATCAACGAAACTGGTGGTCTTTGATTGAATACCCAGCAGTGTGTGTGTTATTCAATTAAAAGACCACAAGTTCAAGACTATCCAACAATTTATTAATCGATCTCTAAGAAAATTCACAACCCGTGAATTGTTTTCATCAGTGCTCAATTATTTTTAACTCGATAGCAATGTATGAAAATTACTTATACCTTGTTCGTCAGGTTTGAACCCCGTGAGCTCACCTACTAGTTACGGTTACGCTGGAATAGCCTCTCTAGGCTACCTAGCTTAGGTAGGAAAAAAAGAAAAACTTACATCTTTAAACGAGCAATTCTTGTATATATATAATCTGAATCTCGGAAACGGCTCCAACGATTTTCATAAAATTTAGTATACAGGGGATTTCGGGGGCGATAAATCGATCTAGCTACGATTTATTTTCAGAAAATGTTGTTTTATTCGTGTTTTCAATAATCAATTTTATTAATATCTTCCCGACATCTATTGGCGAATAATAATACTATTTTTCATAATTTCAACTAACTGCTTTAAAGACACAATAACACTAAAGCTATTTCAGCAGATGGCGTTGTTAAGCCACTTATCAAAAAAAAACCGGTCATCGTCTAGTGAAAATTACGAATACATTAAAAATCGATTGAAACCCATCACCGAACGATGCCTATTCCACCTAGATAAGAGAAGCGTGATTGATACGCGGCAAAAGTACGCCAGGAGCTCATAATACGCTCTTTAGTAGCTTTCTCATTTCTTATTCTAAACTGTGACGGACTCGCAGCCCGACCCGTGTTAAGCGATAATCTTGGAAAAACAACATAACGACAGACGACATTGGGTCGAATTTGCTTCGTTCCAAATACCTAGTCAGGTCATAAGTATTGTCACACAGTAAAAACTTTTCTTTTAGAATACTGACCACAAAAAAGTTTATTGAATTCGAATTTAGAATTGTTCATGAAAATAAAAATGTATACTTTTAGAATTTTACTCATTTTTAATATATGGAGTGGACGCTTAAAGAAGACCGTGTTGCAGTTATTGCGTTGCATCGTTGCGGTTACGCGCCAATTCAAATTTTTAACATACTGAAAAATTTGAATATAACCAAAAGATTCGTTTATCGTACCATCAAACGATACAATGAAGACTCTAGTGTAGATGACAGGTCAAGAAGTGGTCGCCCTCGGTCTGTTAGGACTCCAGCAGTGATAAAAGCTGTGAAGGCGCGAATTCAAAGAAATCCCAAACGTAAGCAGAAACTGTTGGCCCTTCAGATGGGGTTAAGCAGAACCACGGTGAAAAGGGTGTTAAATGAAGACTTAGGGCTTCGGGCATATCGAAGAAAAACAGGACATCGTTTGAATGCTCGTCTAATGGACCTGAGACTGAAGAGATGCCGCGCTTTGTTGAAGCGGTACGCGGGAAAAAAATATCGGGAAATTCTTTTTTCGGATGAAAAAATTTTTACCGTAGAAGAGAGCTACAACAAACAAAATGATAAGGTGTACGCACACAGTAGTGAAGAAGCGAGCAACCGTATTCCGCGTGTCCAACGAGGTCATTTTCCATCCTCGCTCATGGTATGGTTGGGAGTTTCTTATTGGGGCTTAACAGAGGTACATTTTTGTGAGAAAGGTGTAAAAACGAATGCAGTTGTGTATCAAAATACAGTCCTGACGAACCTTGTGGAACCTGTTTCTCATACCATGTTCAATAACAGGCACTGGGTATTCCAACAAGATTCGGCGCCAGCTCATAGAGCGAAGAGCACACAAGACTGGCTGGCGGCGCGTGAAAT